AGTTGTACAGGGCCTTGGTGAGACCACACCTGGAATATTGTGTGCAGTTTTGGTCTCCTTTTCTGAGGAAGGATGCTCTTGCTCTCGAGGGAGTGCAGCGAAGGTTTACCAGGCTGATTCTGGGGATGGTGGGTCTGATGTATGAGGAGAGATTGACTAGGTTGGGATTGTTTTCACTGGAGTACAGATGAGTGAGGCAGGGGGGATCTAACAGAGACTTATAAAATTCTAACAGGACTGGAACAGTGTAGATGCAGGGAGTAGATGTTCCTGATAGTGGGTGTATCCAGAACCAGGGGTCACAGTATGAGGATTCGGCGTAAATGATTTAGGATGGAAATGAGACATTTCTTCACCCAAGGAGTAGTGAGCCTGTGGAATTCATTACCACAGGAAGTAGTTGATGCCAAAACATTGAATGTTTTCAAGAGGCGACTACATATAGCACTGGGGATGAATGGGATCAAAGATTAAGGGGAGAAAGCAGGCTATTGAGTTGGATGATCAGCCATGATCATGAAGCATGGCGGAGCAGGCTCAAAGGGCCGAATGGCCTCCTCCTGCTCCTATCTTCTATGTTTCTAGAATTCAAAGACTGAAAAAAATGTGGAAATATTTGGCATTGGAAGGAGGAGATGTTGAACTGGTCTTTCTAAATGTGGAAGAAAAGTGACAGAAGAAAAGCAGATCAGGCACATGTGGGACTGGCTGCTGAATGGAGCAATGGAGGTGAAAACCCCTGTGCAAATGGAGAAATCATTGTGAGAACTATCTGGTCTTTCTAAGATAAGATCAATGAAATAACTGCACAGAGGCCGGTCACCCTTCATTTATACGTGCACAGTACACAGCTCAGAGTCAGTCCCTGGACTGGGCAGATTCTGAATCCCCTGTTTGTATTGGTCACCCAGAGCTTTCCTGATTGGGTTTGTTAACCTGGGCCAATCAAGGATCTCATAGTCAATGAGATCCACCTGGTTTCAATCATTACAATAGGCCATTTAACTTTCAACATCATTTCAACCAGAGAATGGAAAGACATTTGAAAAATAATTTTATCATAAACCGGTCCCACATAGAAGGGAACAACTTAAAATATGGGTGTTAGCCATAGCAAAATACAGTGATGGGTTGACAAATTTTCTGTTCTAGAAGACAATAGAGTGTCAAAAAGGAAACTGTTTTATCCTTTGTCCTTTGTTAGAACAATAGAAGCGACAAAAGGCAGAAAGGTCCAAGTCAGATTTGAATGGGGACTAGCTGAAATGATGTAATATGAAGCTGTTATGATGGTACATGGGCGGAATGGAAAAGTTTAGCAAAGCAGTCTCTTATTGGCCTTCCCACTACAGGAGGAGTTCAGCAAATTGGAACAGTGGTACATTAAAATTAATGTCCCAATGCAAATGGCAAAGTATAGGCAAAGGCATGGTAAAAGGCAAATGGACAGTTGGTGATACAAAAAGGAGAGAGGGAAGAATGGGGTCTCTGCTATCAGTGGTGAAAAATGTGAAACATCTTTTCCCAAATGTAGAAAGTAGTGACATGAAAGCCGAGAATAAACAGAATCTTTATTCTATTGGAAGATGAAAAAGGTTGTGAATAAAATGGGGTGGATATTGTGAATGACTCTGCCAGTCAAAGATCAGTCAGCTAAGGAAAATAAACCTTTCAGATATTGACCTGAAACATTAATTCCCTCTACAGTTCCTGCATGATCTGCACAGAAACTCCAGCATTGTTAAAAAATTTTCAGAATCCCAACATCCGCCATAATTTCCCTTTGTATGTTTCAGACATTCTGTGACAGGGCCAGGCATTTAGGGTGATGACCAAAAACTAGTATTAGAGAACAGTTTTTGTAGAAATAGGATGGGAGAAAACACAATCAAATTATTGTAGATTAGAATCAGTCGATTTGTAACAGCTGTGCAAAGTCAGTAATGAAGGGAAGGAAAGCAAAAAACATGGAAGTGAACCGTGTTAAGGCGTAGGTTCAATGGAAAGGAAAGTCCTTCAGTTTGGAGCAACAAGGAGGAAGCAACAGCAACAAAACTGTTGAGATGGTGAGAAATAATGAAGGGCAGTGTAACAAGAAGTGCTTCACTGAGCATGCATGTTGGTATATTTGAGAACCTTACATGTTCTCATATTAGCAACTGTTTTTTGAGATACAGTGTGATGCTGAAAGATGAGAGTAGGTTCAGCCAAGCAAATAAGAGCTGTCTGAGTTGGTTTTTATATACGATGCATCAACACCATTGTTTGTTGTTCCTTTCTGATTAGAACAGGAAGCTTTCTTGTGCTTGTTTTGATGTGGCAGGGTGGATTTGTGACAAAAAACCTTGGCTAATCTCTAATAATGCAAAATGATGAAAATCATTTTCTTTTATGTCTCTGTTGTACAGCCCAATCGATATTGAACTGAAAACTAACGAATACCGTGAACTAATTAGTGCTTCCTGTCAGGAAGGTCTCTACTTCCTGCTCCTATTGTGCCTGTTGACCAAACAAATCCATTACTACTTATTCTGATTTTCCAATATGACGCACAATCACAAGGACCATTCACTCTTTGTGTGTTGTCACTTCCTCTCAGGTTGGCCCCATTTGTACAGAAAGGGGCATTGAGGCTAATGCTTTTGACAGACAATAACAATTTAATTGTGTGGGTTAGTGAAATTAGACCTTTTTTACTCACAAAGCATGGTTATAAATGCCTTATTGGTCTTTGTCAGTCAAATAATGGAAACAACTGAGCTGGAGATTGTTACCGATTTTTTTTTTCAAAGTACCATTAGCACCCACATCAATATGTGATTAATATGCTGTAGCTTCAAAGGTTTCATGACAGATATTTTTGGAACTTCTGTCGTGCTGCTTATGCTTAATGTGTTGTCTAAGGATCAATGTTATGGAAATAGCAGATGGAGCTACTAGAATAAAGAAAATGATACAATTCACCACTGCAAGGTACCCTGAAACCAGTGAAACATTTCTGAAATGTTGTGTGAATTTGTGTACAGCAAAAAGTAAAGATAATCTGGGGGCTTTGTTGTGATGTTTGTTGGGGGATATATATTGGCCAGCACATTGGGAAAACTCCATTAGCTTTTCCTCATATAGTGCGAGGGGATCTTTACATGCACCTCAGAGGGAAGATTTGGTCTGACATTGCTTTTGAAAGGCAGAACATTTGACTATGCAGCACTCCCTTAGTATTGCACTCGTTGCACACACAACCTCTGATTCCTGCTTCTGAAACTACCCCCTCAGCATGACGTGGAAAATAACACCTTTCCTGCTTAACTTCAGCTGAGTACAACCCAGCTCATCTCTTCACTGCCTCAGTTATTAGCTCTGGTACACTCCAATTGAGAACTTGTCGTTTCCAGCACCCTTAAGGACTTGAGCATGTTATCCTGAATCAAATGGCAGTGAGTGTTATATTGTTTGAAGTGAATTTTCTGTTAAGAAGTTACACCCAGGCCCTGTCGATGTGTTTAAGTGGACCTAAAACAGTCAATTTCTGGAGAAGAGTTGGATATTCCCCTGGACTTATGGTCAACATTCCTCTCTCAAACAGTACAAGCCCACAAAGAACAGGCAAAATGAGTGCTCATCTCAGTTGCAGCCCTGCCTAATCTTGTATACATTATCATATTCTTCTATATTGGCAACGAAGACCAAAACTATATGTGGCACATCCTAAGAACATGATGAGGGTGTATTATAAATGTCAATACTTTTTTAATGCTGTCAGGCACCATTTCTGTGCTTTTTCAGGTCTCACGCTAATTAGCAAACTGGAAGTTCCTTTCGTTCAACTTTTTTCAACCCCTGAATGTTAGATGAGGCTTGGCTAAAGGAAATTGACGACATAACTACAGATTGGAAACACCTGATTGCTGCTTTCTCCCCCACAAATGTTGAGATTGCTTCAGTTAATTTATAGTAACGATCAAAAAACATATCACGGGCAATCAACTACACAGGGCAAATGACAGTAAACCATTTGCTATTCCCACTGAAACAAGTGACAAAATTACTTCTTCTAATCAGCCAGATCATCTAAGTGAAAGTGTAATGAAGGACTCCTTGGGACCTGGCAGTAAAAATTAAAAGCTTTTTTTAAGAAGCATATGTAATGGTCCAGAAAGCCACAGTCCATTCCCACCCAGGCTCACAAGTTTGGTTTCCCTCCTAACAAATCAATGTATCTTGTGGATTGTCCTTAAACCCCCTTCCCCAACATTATCCTTCACCTCTGTCCTCCACGATACAGACAACTCAATAATCTATCCCTGGTGCTTCCTGATTACTCCCTGACATTCCAGCATGTAGCCTTCTATCTCCTTCCAACCACCCCTCCCCAATCAGCAGCCCATGAAAATCTGGCAGAAACAGGAGACCAACGATGATCGTGGTTGTCATCTATTAAATTTGACATAAGATCTCATCCCAGGAATCTGCAAGTCTCTCACACCTCTCCTATCTCCGCAAAACTGGATTCCCTGCCACCACTAAATAAAAACTCTGAGGAAGGTTCACTGGACCTAAAACGTTAACTCTGTTTTCTCCTTCACAGATGCTGCCAGATCTGCTGAGCTTTTGCAGCAACTTCTGTTTTTGTCCCTGCCACCACTGCCTCGCTGTAAATTCTCAAGCCAATGCTTTTATTTGACTTTATGCCACTTCATCCACCAGAGAGATTGGGTAAATTGGGCAAGCACCAACATATACAGTGGAGACTGCACCAGACTTGCTTGTTACTCCATTTCAGTGGCACAACATTGGCATGGTAGCCAAACATATTCTAATTGTGAATACACATACTGTGGCAAGAAACTCAGAACAATTATTTGAGAAAAGTGAACAATATAACTGCTGTGTTCAGTTATTCTCTACTGGAACCAATCCTTAACTTTGTGTAAATGTTGCCGCCCTAAGACTTGAAATTGGAATGAACTCTTTATGCGACTCACAACTCTCAGGAGATATCCTTTGACTCTGCAAAATGATCTATGCACATTTTGCTTTATTTTTAAATGTATTTTGTTATCAGGAAAATAATAAGTACAGTTAGATTTACACTCTGGAATGAAGTAACTTACTGCCAAATACTAATCTTCAGAGAAAAGGGCCTTGCAAGTACGTTAAGTGATGATTTTTTCCAACCACTGGCTTTGATCTATTTTCATCATTGACCAATAATAGGCAATGGATATTGGTGAGCTGTCATCCAACACCATTGTCTGAACTGACCTTATATCATTGAGACTTTGGACTTCTTTGATGTATATTATTGAGTTTTTAATGTCACTCCAGACTGGCTTTCAAGGTCAGTTTTATTTAAATACATCTGTTAGATTAGTTAGTAATGAGATAAGTTAAAAGCTGACGTATGCTGGCAGGGTGTCTGTGTACACGTACTCAGAAACTCCAAAAACAGCCTTGCTTTTGAATTTAATCATCTCCCCCACTCGGGCCTCATAGATCTATCTACACAATCTACAAACCAATGTCTAGATCCAGTCAGTCACTCTTCATATCACAGTTTTCTAACATCTAGCTGTACACGTTGACTGTTTTGTTTGTGACCCTGGATTTTGAATAGATTGTAAGTTTAGCTGTCTGGCCCTCTGTGGTTCAAAACTACCAAGTTTTCTATAAAAGTTACACAGGCTACACACTGAAACATCCTCCATTTTGATAAGCGCAGCCTTGTCGAGTAGAACTGAAAATGACTAAGTGCCCTAGCTGCCCATCAATAACCACTGGAATGTCTCCATCCTATAAACATCCATCTCTCCTTTCCTTATGGATCTGGATCCTGATGTCCGTAGGTTTCTGTATGTACAGTGATGGGTCAGGAGTTCCAATCCATTCATGTTCTTAGACCTTAACCATGGTGAGACCATTGGTATCTGTTGGAAAATTCATCAATCCAACTTTCTCCACTTTCCTCCGAACAGCAAAACTCTTCTGTACTGGGGCTCCAACTGTTGCGAATGATACATGTACTGCATTGAGAGCAGGGTTCGCCTGGATGTCCAGTTTAGAGTTGTGCCCATCTGCAAAACAGGAGTTAATTCTGATTTAACATCACAAGTGTACAACTCCAGCAAACCCAATGAAATTGCACCCACCTACATGACACTGCAACAGGAGCGGCCCTTTATTTGGCCTCATATTTTCTTTCCCTCTTCCCCACCCAATCCCCCAATTTTAGTAGGATCGTGGTTCCATAAATGGCCACAATCTCTCACTACCTTGTTTCTGTGTTACCCCAGTTTGTGACTGCAGGTGGACTGGCAGTTCAATTCATTCTGAAGGGCTGCTGTACCAGTTTGTGGATGAGCCATTAAATCACAGTCACAACTGTACAAGTTCAATGCATCAAAATGTATTAAATTGACCATGACGCATTTTAGGACAGGTCGTGGTCATGAAAGATGCTATATAAATGCAACTTATGTTTTTCTTTGTTATTATTGCACTCTTGTCAAGGGTCTACATAACTCACCTTGGCTGCATCATTAGTATTTCTGAAACAAAAATCAATATCGTATTTGCTATAATCCTTTACCCTACTCATAACCCTTTTAATGTTAGTGAAGTGTTTTCTCCAACAGCAGCAGAAATCAACAAATATTATCTCAGTTGAGTTATCTGAACTAAAGCTTTAGTGCAAAGCCTGCACTGGGTAATAGAGCCAATGTAACTAGGTTAAATGAAGTTCCTCTAACTGAAGCCAGTCTACATTGTATTATGCCCACATAAAATCATACTTGTGGCTCCCTCCAACACAGAAGAAAATTAATTCATCCATTTAAACTTCCATTGCAAAGAATTTAATACAGACAGAGTGGCCTAAACATCCAGCATGGCTAGCTCAAATATACTATTTTGTTCTGTCTAACCATTCATATCTAACACTTTGAAAGCATAGTTAGATTGATTTTTGATACAAGGGTTGAGGTGGGCCAGGCAAAAAGAGGATTTGAGACCACAACCTGATGAATCATGATCTTATTGAATGACAGACCAGGTTTGATGGGCCAAAGAGCCTATTCGTATTGCTAAGTTCTATGTTCCTTTCCGAGAAGTGGCAAACTTCCGAATGCTGAATCTTTACACTGACAGGGTGGAGAATGAAAGGGTGAAGGAAACTAGAAGGTCAGAGGTGGAAAGTTACCATTAAATTACATCACATGTCCTCATTAAACTCAACCATACCTCTTAACTCAGGATACTTGCTGTTAAGAGAATTAGAAATGGAAATACCTTTAATCGAATCTACTGTCCTCCTCACTGATAAGCAAAAAACATTTTTAAGTGAAAGAGTGGCTTGTCTAAGACCCATGTAATGGTCCGTATGTGTGGTCTTTCTATATACGCTCATCTGGAGCTCCCCATTGTTTTTGCGTTCTACCATTATGTCCAGGAAGGGTAGTCGGACCATATAGAAAGACCACACATACGGACCAGATACACAATTACACCAGTAACCATCCCAACACCCTCAAATGGAGCTGCATCAAGACACTATTTAAATGAGCCACAACGCATCTAAGCAACCCGGAACTACGCAAAGCAGAACAGTAGCACCTAGATGGACTCTTCGAAAGGAATGGATACCCAAAAAGCACAATCCACTGTTACCTCTAAGACAGACCACAACAGGAAGACACAACACGACCAGACTCACTAATTATCCTACCCTACACCAAGGACATTTCAGAGATGACCACAAGACCACTCAGACCCCTAGGTATCAGAGTAGCCCACAAACCAACAACCACCCTATAACAGCTACCGGCGAACGTAAAGGATCCCATACCCACAACCAGCAAAACCGGTGTAATATACAAAATACCATGCAAGGACTGTGAGAAACACTGCATAGGCCAAACCGGAAGAAAACTGACAATAAGGAAACACGAACACCAACTAGCCACCAAGAGACACGACCAATTCTCACTTGTCTCACTACACACGGACAACGAGGGACACAAATTCAACTGGGACAACACATCCATAATCACACAAGCCAAACAGAGACGCGCCAAGGAATTCCTGGAGGCTTGGCATTCTAACTGGAACTCCATCAACAAACACATTGAATTAGGCCCTGTGTACAAACCATGGAGAAACAGAACTGGAAGTGGTACCAAACACCTCAACAAATTCAGGCATATAAATAACAAGTGAGACAGAACACCATCGCTTCACCAGAGGCGCACTGACGGTGTTACCTAGCAGGGTGACGAAACATTTGCAACCAAACCCACCGGCTCGACGAGCAAGTCTACAACCACATCCACAACCCAAGCTATAAATCTTCTCGAAAACTTTAAACCATTAGACAACCCTGCCACAATTCTGTTCATAAGTCTTTGAAAAGCAGCTGGTGCATTTTTCATTCCAAAGGGTATTACTTTAAACTGATACAGTCCTTTTAGAGTTACAAGACAGAAACTTCTTTTGCTTTCTCTGACAAAGGTACTTGTCAGTAACCACAAATTAAATCCAACTTTGTGATGTAAGTGGCTTGTCCTACTTTGTCCATACAGTCCTCCAGTCTTGGAATTGGATGTGAGGCTGATTTAGTCACGGTGTTGACCTTCTAATAATCTACACAGAATCATTGAGTACCATCAGGTTTGGAAACCAACACAATCAGCGAATTCCACTTGCTTTGACTCGGCTTGATGATATCTTCTTGGAGTATCGCTTCCAATAGATACCAACAGAATTCTGTACCTATACTGCTTTGAGAGGATTAAGCCTGTAGAAGTGTTGTTTTATCAGAATTCTCTATGTCCTCCTCATGCTCCATAGTATTAGTCCTCACCATTCTATATCTACATATATCCTCATGGTGCTGCAACAAGCCTTTCAATTCAGTTCTCTGTTCCTCAGACACACAGCTTACACTATATCCCATTCTTTAAGGACTTCCTCATTATTCAATTTATTCTGAGGCACATCGAAGTCCAAATCACCAGGTTTTGATTTCTCACTCTGAGTGGTAATAACTAATACCTGTTTCTCCGGTTCCCTTTACTTGTCATTTTAAGGTTTCAGCATGTTCACATGACATACCTGATAATTTTTTTACGATCTGGCATCTTTACCGGATAATTCACCTGACTTAACTTCTTCCCAATCTGAAAGGGACCACTAAACTTTGCTTTGAAGGGATCTTCTACCACCGGTAACAGCACCAATACTTTATCCCCATCAGCAAACATATGAATTTTAGATTTCTTATATGCTTCTTGCTTCATTAGATGCCGTGCCACCTTCAAATGTTATCTAGCTAATTCACCTACTCTGTTTAATCTCTGTCTCACTTCAGACATATAATCCAACAGTGAGATCTCTGACTTCGGACCTATTAACATTTCCTTAATTAATTTTAAAGTCCCTCTTACTTCATGTATGAATATCAATTCAAATGGAGTAAACTGACTTGATTCATTTGGAGCACCTTTAATAGAATTGAATATAGATCGGATACCTTTATCCCAATCATTTGGGTAATCCTGGCAATAAGTCCTCAGCATGGTCTTTAGGGTCTAATGCCACCTTTCCAATGCTCCCTGGGATTCGGGATGGTATGCACTTGATTTAAAGTATTGGATGCCTAAAGTATCCATGACCTCCTTAAATAACTTGGCAGTAAAATTGGACCCTTGGTCTGATTGAACCTCCCTGGGTAGTCCATAACAGGTAATGAAAGCAAGCAACTCCTCCACAACCATTTTTGCCTTGACATTCTGTAATGGAATTGTCTCTGGAAATCTGGTAGACACATCCATTATGGTTAGAAAATACTGGTTCCCACTTTTGGTTTTATGGAGGGGACCTACAGAATCAATCATAACCCACATGAAAGGTGAGAGTTAGCATCAAAGGCACTGGTTTTATTTCCACCAGTGGCTTTGCTACCATTTGACACGTATGACAGGTATAGCAAAACTCAAACACATCTTTGTGTAATCCAGGCCAAAAGAAATGCTTCTGTACCTTAGCCTGAGGCTTCCTCATTCCTAGATGACATCCTACAGGTAATTCGGGTGCTATGTGCAATACTTCCTGTCTGTATGCTCCCAGCAACACGATCTGGTAAACTTCTGCCCATTTCTCCTTTGCACTAATCTGCCAAGGTCTCCATTTCTGCCTTAAGATTTTATCATTAAGGTAATAACATTTTGGAATACAATCTGATTCCTTTTCCCAGTAGGATTTATGATACAAATCTTTTATTGTCTCATCTTTTTGTCATAACTCCATTAGTCTTTCGGAACTAAACACTTATGCCTGATCCTTTACCTGCTTGGGTTTTCCCTTTAGCATTTCATCAAACAGGGTGTCAGCTAACTGGACCTCAACTCCTTTATCTTTCTCTTTTGTTTTCCCTTCTTGCTTTAACTTATGACTGTGAGATCTTGTCACCACACAGTCTGGAAAAATTCCAGGGTATTTTTCTTTTAACTCCTCAGTTCCCTGGTTTTCTTTCTGCTTCTCCAACACAATGGACACCCACCTTTGATCTGGCTAGATCGTTTTCAAGAACAGACTTTATTCCTGGAATAGACATTCTTTCAATCACTCCCACTGTCACTTCCCCCATCTTGATTGGACTTTCTTGCCTTATCTTACACAGGGGAATGCTAAATCTCTCTGCATTTATTCCACAGATTATCACTGTCTCGGGCAACATTTCAGAAAGAGTGCAAATACTTTCATCTCTTACTATTAGAGACTGACCAGCTCCCATTTCTCTAAATATTTTAACTTCCTTATCTACACCCCCTGTTCTACCTGAGTAAAGCTTGCTCATAGAGGTGATATCTTTGAAGAGATCGGGCACTGCCTCACTATCCAGCCTGTGATTAGGCTGTGCACTCTCCTGCAGCTCCTCGACTTCTCTTGGGATTTCCTTCACTGCCTCAACTAATCCCACTGGTTTAGCCTCTTTTACCACATCCTTTTTCCCAGCGTCTCTCTTAACCCACCAGCATCGTGGCTTTGTGTGTCCCCCTCTATTACAGTGAGACCTTTCACCTCTTTATCACCTTCTTGGGTTTCTTTTTGCACATGTGGTAAATTGCTCCCAGTGTGATCTACTTTATATTTTTCATTGAAGGATCTCCCTTTTTCCCAATTTCTATCCCTCACGGAATGAAATTGCTGTCGGAAGCTGGATTTCGATTTATGCGCTAATGCTTATTCATCCTCCATCTGCACCTCTTCTCACTGTTTTAACTTACTGTTCCTCAGCATGAGTTCTGATCACTTCTGGAAGTGAGTTTTTAAACTCCTCCAGCAGAATAATCTTTCTAAGGTCCTCATATGACTTTTCCGGCTTTAATGCTGTCATCCATCTATCGAAGTTGCTGTTTAATTCTTTCAAATTCGATGTAAGTCTGACTTGTTTCCTTCCTTATATTTCTGAACCATTGTCTATGTGCTTCTGGTACCAATTTGTACTCACTCAAAATAACCTGTTTTACTTCTTTATATTCCCTTGACATAGCCTCTGATAGAGCTGCAAACACCTTCCTGCCAACTTGGTCTGAATTAACATTACCCACATAATCTCTGGACAGTTCATCTGGTTAGCCAGTTTCTCAAAGGAAATGAAAAAGGCTTCTACATCTTTTTCATTGAATTTTGGTGATGTTTTGACATATTTATATATATCTGTACCAGGCCTTTAGCTGTGATGGGTTTGCTCATCATCACTCTCCTCCTCACCAAGCCTATCTTCCACCTGCATTGCCATCCTTTTAAATTGACTTTCCTGTCTAATTGTCAACTTTCAAAGTTCAAACTCTCTCTTTTACGTTTTGTTCAGCTAGGAACCTTCTTTCTCCTTCTTTATCTTCCAACTCCAATTATCTAATTTGCAATTTAATTTTTTTCTAATGCCACCGCAACGGATTATTTCTCTGATATACCTAAATGTTTGGCTAACTCCATTACAATTTCAGCTTTCATCTTATCCCTAGTTAAACTCAAATTTAGCCTGCTGCTAGTTCTAAAACTTTCACCTTTTTCTGTCTTTCTAAACTTTCTTGGCAAATTTGGGAAGCATCTTCGATCCCCAAAACCTCTTTAGCAATGTTAAGAGTCATTTCCCCACTTCTCATTTAAGTTTTATTTAAGATCCAGTACACTAATCCCCAAGTCTGTTTAAATCTGCTGGGACCTTTCATACCTTGGATCTGTTCAAATCTATCCAAATCCATTCAGATCCCGGACACGAACCAGCCAGATCCCAGACCTGAGCCCCCAATCTGTTATAAAGCGGAGATCAACTCCCCCGCCTCTGATAAGTAAAACCGAAACACCCGCAGAGGCTTGCCTCACCCTATAATCTGTTAAAAGAAGTGTGAAAAGTGGTATAACCTGGCTGTCACCCCCATGCTGTTATAAAGGAGTGGTTAAATGAAATGAAATCCTTTCACTCACTCTATAATCAACAAGTAACAATTTATTTCTCTAACTCTAAAAGTGAACAAATTAACTGAAACGTTAACAAACCAAACAATTCCCCCTTAACTACTAACTATTTCCCAGTAAAACAAAATTCTAATGGTATGCTGAACCTATAAATACAAGTCCCACTTATATAAATCAAAACAATAAAAAAAGTTAAAACTTAGTCTCTCGAAATTACAGCCAGGATACATCTTCCAGAATGTTCTGTGCCTTCTCCACTGATCTTCAGTTAGGAGTACCTTTTCCCATCAAATTCGTGTGTCAGGAATATTAGCTAACAGTGCCACTGTACCTTTAGTTAGATGATGGTTACTCTGAGACCGTAGAGAATTCTGAGAGAGTCCGTGATTTTCTCTTTAGAGCTGATGGTTGTTAACTCTAATAGATGGCAGTTACTCTCACAACGATTTTCAAATGCCCTCTTCCTTTATACTCTTGATGACATATCAATTCTTACACTAGGAATGGTCCTCTGTTGTCAAAACCGCCAGATTTAAATTTAGAGATAGTAGGAACTGCAGATGCTGGAGAATCCGAGACAACAAGGTGCAGGGCTGGATGAACACAGCAGGCCAAGCAGCATCATAGGAGCAGAAAGGCTGACGTTTCAGGCCTAGACCCTTCATCAGAAATTTAAATTTAATTGGTTTTTAGTTTCTAAGTGCCTGTTTTAAATGAATTGGCTGATTTCCAAATTGGTTGCCTTGCTAACCATAGAGCCTTTGATACAAATGTTTCAATTTCAGGATCTCTCTATGTACCTGCAACCCACAAGCTACCCACAGACTTTTTTTTTTAAATCTCTAAGTGCAGAAAAAGCACACATTTTTTAAAGGGACCATACACTCTTCTCCCCTATCATTTTACAAACATCAAATTCTAACACCCTGCCTTCCAATCCACAAGTACTCTACCCAACTTCACAACAATGGTACTGGATGCTAACCAAAATTATATCTTTTAATTCCACCGATTTGCTTTGTGCCTCCAAAAGCAGTTGAGAAGATTGTCACTGACAGTTTGTTAATCAATTAACAATATAATCTCCACAGGTGCCATTCACTACTTCTGGATTTACTTCTGGTTTTGGGTTACTCTTTTGCATCTCAAAGATGCCTGGTGATTTGTCACTTTTAAATGAAGAGTGGTTATTCCACACAACATTAGATAAGGAGTGTGATAGTGCTGGATAAGCTACAAGAGTTAGAATCCCTACATCGTGGAACCAGGCTATTCAGCCCATTGAGTCCACACTGATCTTCTGAAGAGCATCCCATCCAGACCTGCCACCCTACCCAAACCCGCTCCCCCACTCTTTCACTGTAACTCTACATTTCCTATGGCTAATCCATCTAGCCTGCAGATCCTCAAGCTCCATGGGCAATTTAACATGGCAATCCACCTAACCTGCACATCTTTGGACTGTGGAAGAGACCCACACAGACATGGGGAGAATGTGCAAACTCCACATTGACATTCGCCCCAGTGTGGAATTGGCACCAAGCTTTCTGATTAGAGACATTAGTCAAACTCACTAAATGAGGGTCAGCAAGATCAAAGTGGAGCAAAGATTTGATCTGAACTTTTGACCCTTCTCGCTGAGTAAGTGTTCGTAAGTCTCTGTTCTCTGACCACAAACAAACTAGAATTTCAAGTTTAGATAGACTTGTTGCATATCTGCTTTATCACAGAATAATGCAGAGATGGTTCTAGAGTCAAACAGTTATTTTTGTAATTTAACAGTGGATAGCATGGCCGAGCAGTCTAAGGTGCTGGATTAAGGCTCCAGCCTCTGTGGAGATGTGGGTTCGAATCTTACCGCTCCCGTTTGCGACAGGACGTGGTCAAGCAGGGGCGGCACGGTGGCTCAGTGGTCAGTACTGCTGCCTCACAGCACAAGGGACCCAGATTCAATTCCACCCTCGGGCGACTGTCTGTGTGGAGATTGCACATTCTCCCCGTGTCTGCGTGGGTTTCCTCCGGGTGCTCCGGTTCCCTCCCACAGTCCAAAGATGTGCGGGCTAGGTGGATTGGCCATGCTAAATTGCCCGTAGTGTTCAGGGATGTGTAGCTTAGGTGCGTTATAAGGGGATGGGTCTGGGTGGGATGCTCCAAGGGTCGGTGTGGACTTGTTGGGCTGAAGGGTCTGTTTCCACACTGTAGGGATTCTATGATAAATGTCTTGGAACATTACAGAACCTTCCATATACATGCAGCTCACAGCAGCATGTCTCATTCATTATAAACGTACAAGCTAGGAGCAGAAGTAGCCCACTTAGCTGTTTGAATCTGCTCCTCTATTCAATGAATTGTGGCTTATCTGAGTGCATCCTCAAATCCACATTCCTACCTACCATTGATAACCTTTCGTCCCTGCCAAACAAGAATCTCTTTACTCTTGCATTAAAAAATATTCAAGGACTCTGCTTCAACTACCCTTTCAGGAGGAGAGTTCCAGAGACTCATGACACTCAGGAAAAAAGAAATTACCCCATTTGTTTTAAATGGTTAACCTTAGTTCTAGGTTCTCCAATAGGAGGAAACCTTCTCTCACATATACCCTGTCAGGAACCCCTGGGGATCTTACATGTTTCAATCAAGTCATCTCTTACTCTTCTAAACTTTATGGGGAGGTGGTGGCCTAGTGGTATTATTGCCAGATTGTTAACCAGAAACCTGGGAATGTTCTGGGGACATGGTTCAAATCCCAATACAGCAGATGGTGGAATTTCAATTTTTTTTAAAATCTGGAATTAAGAATCTAATGATAACCATGAATCCATTGCTGATTGTTGAAAAAAACCCATCTGATTCACTGATGTCCTTTAGGGAAGGCAATGTTAGCTAACGATGCCCTTATCTCATGAATGAATTACAAAGAAAAAAGCAGGTACAAGCAGAGTTTGCCTAATGTTTCCTCATAAGACAACCTTCTCACTCCAGGTAATAGTCTGGGAAACCTTTTCTGAACAATCTCCAACATATTTACATCTTTCTTTAAGTAAGGTCACCAACCCATGCATAATAACCCAGATACAGTTTCACCAGTACTCTGTAGAATTTCCTTATTTTTGTATTCAATCCCCCTTGCAATAAATGACATTTTATGAGCTTTCCTAATTACTTACTGTTGCTGCATACTCACCTTTGCACACCTATATCCCCTCCCCATTTAAATAATATGCTTCTTTACTGCCAAAATGGACAATTCCCCATTTTCCCAAACTTCTGAGTCAGGATTCACTAGTTAAAGAAATTGAACACTATACAAGGATCTGTGAACAGACAAGCTGAATCAAAAGCTGCATCGAACTCATGGACTAGGTTTTAATGCTAATTAATCTGTTGTACCAGTGATGTATTTGGCCTGTTGTTGCTGGTCTGAGATCTTGCTGAAGAATCCACTGGGGTCTTTTCCAGTAGCACTCTGCTTCCTGGCTGCCATTTCCTCCTTTTGGGAGATTGTGTCTTCTATCTCATCAGCCCAAGACATATTCCAATCCCAAATGTGACCAGGTTCAGATTCTGAACATTCACTTGTGGCCTCTGATCCTTCGGAACGATTGCATGACAGCTCAGCATCAGGTAAGGCAGTGGGCATACAGGATGTTGGAGGGAGAGCTGGGATTAGAGAAATCAGTAAGTTATAATCCATTCATTTTATGTCATCGTACAACTCAAGAGATTTTTGAAAACTAAAGTAATAAAAAATTAGTATGCAATAAAACTGAACACCAAAAGATAAAGCAAAGGATTCAAATAGCCAGGAACATGTTAAAGATCAGATGATTAGTGCAGGTATACTGTAGGAGTGTGACAGATGCATTTCTGAAGGCAACAGGAAATGTGAGAGTTAGGCCATCATCAAAATGTTGGTTATGCCTTTTGGTATTGCTCTCTTCTTAATATTACTTCCATTCTTAATGCTTTGAGTCCAGTATGACACTTTTTCAGAACAGGATGTTCCAGAGCAGAATCATACCTCAAAAAGTCTATTGTGCTTTTCTCTCTCCACAGATGCCACCAGACCTGCTAAGTTTGTCCAGCAGTTTCTGTTATTATGTCAGAATGTCAGCATCTGTAGCACCTTGCTTTTATTCCTGACATTCTTAATGCATTGTGTGGATACATGGCAGCCGGAAGGAGACTGCTAGGCAGTTAAATAATTCGACACGCTGGCAGGGGCTGAGAAAGAGAGGTTGAGAGAGACAGACAAACAGTGATGCTGAGAGGCAGAGAGGGACACAGAGGGAGATGTGAGAATGAAGACAGGAAGATCTGAAAAGTAACAGGAAGTATTCAAGTTTGTAAACTTCTTTCTACAGAGATTCTCATAGTTTGCCAGAATACACGCGACTTGTACCACAGTTATATCCTCAAGGGCCAATCTCAAGTAACATAGCGTTAAAGATCTGTCTGTGTTTCACAGCACTGATTTGTTCTTCCTCTTTTCAATCATCCATCTCCTCTTCTGGCCTAATCCTGTCACAGAGTCATACAGCACGGAAATAGAACCTTCAGTCCAACCAGTCCATATGCTGACCATAATCCTAAACCAAACTAGTCCCACCTGCCTGAGCTTGGCCCATATCCTTCAAAACATTTCTTATTCATGTGCTTATCTAAATGTCTCTTAAACTTGGTAACTGTACCCGCATTCATCACTTCACAATTCCACCCTCTGTAAAAACATTGCCTCTCATATCTTTTCTAAATCTTTCTCCTCTCACCTTAAAAATATACCCTTTGGTCCAACTGGTCCATGCAGACCAGATATCGTAAATTAAACTCATCCCATTTGCCAGCATTTGGCCCATATCCCTCTAAACCCTTCCTACGCATATAGCCATCCAGATGTCTTCTAAATGTTGTAACTGTACCAGCCTCTACCAGTTCCTCTGGCAGCTCATTCCATACACACACCACCCTCGGTGTGAAAAAGTTTCCCTTAAGATCCCTTTCCAATCTTTCCCCTCTCACTTAAACCTATGTCCTCTAGTTTTGGACTCTGTTACCCTGGGGAAAAGACCTTGGCTGTTCACCCTATCTATTCCCCTCATGATTTTATAAACTTCTATATGGTCACGCCTCAGCCTCCAACGGCCCAGGGAAAATAGCCCCAGCCTATTCAGCTTCTATATAGCTCAAACTGTCCAACTCTGGCAACATCCTTGTAAATCTTTTCTGAACCCTTTCAAGCTTCACAACATCCTTCCTATAGCAGGGAGACCAGAACTGAATGCAGTATTCCAAAAGTGGCCTCACCAATGTCTTGTACAGCCTCAACATGACCTCCCAACTCCTACGCTCGATGCACTGATCAATAAAGGCAAGCATACCAAACACCATCAAGTCCAGTTCTAGCTTCCAGAATGCTACCCACACTGACAGTGGAATTGGGAAATCTCAGACATTCCAACATATGAGGCCTAGTACTAGACAGTTTGAGGAGAGCCCAAGTAGGCCATTGGGGAAACTGAGGAATCCTCCCTATTGAAATGCCAATTTAACCGTAAAACAATTTCTGTAAAGTAGACAGAACGGCTTAAAGTACACATGACTTCTGTGAGAATTGTATCATCACTTTGTTCACCTGAAAGTTGAAAGAGATGGGACAGGCTTGGGATACAGATGAAGATTAATTAATTGAAGTGTTGTCTGCTGCCCAGTCCGCACTGCTATAGTTCTAGATTCTGGATCAAGCCATAAATATAACAGCCTCGGAGACACAAGAAATACAATAAACACTAGCTCCAATTTAAATGCATTTTACAATTACCCAATAAATGAGCAGACAAGCAATTCCAATAAAACAGGACTTTTATGTTTCATTTAATCTGTGTACTGCATGGCTCAGAAATCAGGCCTGCTACAAAAGGTCAGGAGGATAGGTGTTTATCATTGTGACATGTACACCCTACAGTTCATTTAGAAGGATCTTCACAGCAGATTTGTATGGTTAGCTATTCGTGTATTCATGTGTATTCACCCAGACACTAGAGGAGAAAGTAGATGTACTCTGAGGAAATAAACATTATAACACTTGCATGAAGCAAGGAGTCTCTCCATCAATAAATAATCAGTGCTTCAAATTGCCCTGAAATTTGTTCATCTAATCCCCAGTTCCAGCTGAGGTGGATGACTAGCCCAAACTATTCTACCATTGCTGCAGATGCAGACACTCCATTTGTGTACAACCTGAGAGTACCCTTAGAGGATGTGGAGCATCACTTTTCGGAACATGCCGGATAGGGAGCATCACACATAGTGCACAGGGAATGGGATTTGACCCATGCAGATCTGAGTAATTATACCTGACCAGTGGTTAGCACTGCTGCCTCACAGTGCCAGGGACCCTGCTTCGATTGCACCCTTGGGTTACTGTCCATGTGGAGTTTGCACATTCTCCCTGTGTCCGCATGGGTTTCCTTTGGGTGCTCCCAGAGTCCAAAGTTGTGCAGTTTGGGTGGATTCGCCATGCTAAATTGTCCCATAGTGTCCAGGGATGTGCAGGCTATGTGGGTTTGCCATGGGGAATGCAGGGTTACAGGGATAGGATAGGTGGGTCTGGGTGGGATGCTCTTCAGAGAGTTGGTGTGACTCAATGGGCCGAATTGACCTGCTTCCACACTGTAGGGATTCTATGATTCTATAAATGTAGTTGTACTTATTGCTACCATGCAGAAAACCTCCCCATTATCTGTGAACAGTGCCTTTTCTGTAGATACTCTAGAGTGGTGGATTCTCTACCTCTAATCACTACATAGGCTCAGAACAAAGCAAAGCCAAGCAATGCAAAGGAAGATTGGTGGGAGCACCTCCGCTGAATACCACACAATACCACACACTGGTGGAGGTGTCAAGTACTGCAAGGCATCAGGGCAGGTCATCTAGGAAAACAACACATTTTTCATGCCAACTGGACATCCCAGGTCACTTTGCAGTCAGTAAATACTTTTGAAGTAGCGTTACTCTTGTACCGTAGGCAATGTGGCAGCCAATTTGTACACAAGCAGCTCTGACAAACAGCAAAGTGATAACAGCCCGGGATAATTTGTCCTGCTGTTTCCACTGAGTGATAGGTAGTAGGCAGAAGTCCAGAGATATCGCACCTGCTTTTGCCATGAGTTCTTTTTTTGAGACATCTCAGTTTAGGGTTTTAACTGACAGACAGTACCTCCAACAGGGGAGAAGGCTCTCAGCATTGCACTGAAGGGTCAGCTGAGTTGTGCTTAGGTTCTGGAATGGGACTTGAACACACAAATATGGACTCTAAGGTGAGAGTACGACAAGAACAGAGTTCCAGGCTTTTGACCCAATGAGCAGCCTGATACCAAGAGGATTTGGGAGGAAGGTGCTGTGTTTTTGCAGGAGTTAATTCAGAGAATCTCAGTTTTCCCGACGTTTAACTGCCAGACATCCAACTGAACAGGTAGAACAGGTTTTTTTGGCTGGTGTATGCTACCTCAATTCCCAAACCTGCAATTGTACTGTGGTGGAGCATCATCTAGGTTTATTCACTTAAACCCCAATTGTATTGAAGACATGGTTGTCTAAATGAAAGGTGAGCAGTTAGCAACTGACCCAGTTTTTCTTCAGCGGGGCTTTATTTCAGACCGATATCCATGTGTTGAATTTGACAATAAAATACTTTCAGAGATTTACAGGTTTACAATAAAACCTTATCCTTTAACACAACACTACCTTCTGCCTTTCCCTGTCCAGCTCATCAGTGGGGAAGAACTCAGCTCTTAAATACAAAGTCCAATGAGCATCATTGTTCTCAAATCAACCCTGGAGCTATTGTGACTGACCTTTTACGGGGCCTGCATTTCTAACACTGACAAACACTCAATGCAATTATCTGAGCTAGTTGGAATGGAGAACCATAGGCAGAACATGTAACATTAGTTAGACAACATAGCTATGTTATGCTGCTGAGCTTTTCCAGCAATTTCTGCTTGTGTACTTTATACTGTTACTTCTGGAAGCTTGAGGAAATAGGATTACCAGGATTATAGATGATTGGTTTACATTGTCTGTCTTGGCTCATTTGGGATTACACTCCCATTGCTGGGTCAGCCCAGAGTCTTAAGTATGTAACCTTGGATAGCGTGAATAGCTACGGTCTTTATCCCAGCATAGCAGAGTCCAAAACTAGAGGGCATAGGTTTAAGGAGAGAAGGAAAAGATTTAAAAGGGACCTGAGGGGCAACTTTTTCAGAGAGTGGTGCATGTATGGAATGAGCTGCCAGGGGAAGTGGTGGAGGCTGGTACAATTACAACATTTAAAAGGCATATGGATGGGTATATGAATAGGAAGGGTTTAGAGGGATATGGGGCAAATGCTGGCAAATGGGACTAGGTCAGTTAAGGATATTTGGTCGGTGTAGACGGGTTGGACCAAAGGGTCTCCTTCCGTGCTGTACAGATCTATGATTCTATGAGATCAGCGCAAGGAATGCTGTACAGTTGGAAGTAGGTGAGACACTAAAACTCAGGCCCTTTCATGCAGATGTAAAACATCTCTTAAAGTAACTCCGTGAGAAACAGGAGAAAATTTCTGAGCACTCTGGTCAATATTTTCAACACAGTTGACAAATATTAAAACAATTTTATTTGGTCATTTACCTCATTTGTGGGACCCTTCAGTGTATCAATTGGCTGCAACAATTCCTATAAGAATGACTATACTTCAAGAAGTATTTCATTGGCTATAAGGCATTCTGTAACATTTTGCTTCGTAGTGGAAGATGCTATATAAATGCAAAATCATTTACTTTTCTCCTACACAAAATATTTTTATGGCACAGCTTGTAAATAAAAAAAAATGTGGTGTCAGAGATGAGGATTTATGATGGAGTGTTCCATTCAGACTTGGTCTCTTTTCCCAGGCACTAATTCATTTACAAAGATTTGTTATTTAATGCCTGGTCTCAGATACTGGTTTATTAAATTACCACAAAGTAGAGCAAATTGTTTGTACTGGTTTGAATCTTGTGGAGGCTATTTTTAGCAACTAAAGTGCTCATGTTATTCACAAGAATTGTTGGTGGAGGTTACACTGGTGGAGAGAAATAACAGCAGCATCAGCAGATTGTCACAACATGAGTTCCAACTTGATTGTGAATACACTTTCTATCAGACAATGTAATTAACGCAAAAGAAGCTAACTCTGTATATAGCACTGACTGCTTACATTTTAAAATTATTTTCCCCTGTGCTTTTTCATCCAGGAATAACTGCAAATCAGTGGTTTGGTACAAATATCTGTCTGCAGAGAAAGTATTTTGCAAAACTTTCCCTTTATTATAATAATCTTCTGTTGTACCTTTTACCAAAACAAAAAAATACACACACTGCTCCTCTAGTTCTTGTGCCTATTGGACTTACTTGATGAGAAAGAGAAGAGACAAATTTACTCTTTATCAAACCTATCCCACACTCACCATTGGAATGTTTGATCAGCATAGTGTGGCAAGACCTTTACTCAATTACTAACAACTGTCCTAGGTGTTGGGACAGGGCATCTGTATCTATTACTGTACGAATGGAGGACTAAGGGCAGGAGGAAAGGGGTTCTGGATTATGGTCGGGTTGCAAGGCAAAGTATGAATGCATCTGTCACTGAGGCAGCTGTTCAGTGATATCTGGGACTAGAAGCAGATTCAATAGTAACATTTAACAGGCACTTAAGACAGACATGAACAAGCAGGGAATACAGGAATACAGACCACGTGCAGGCAGATGGGATTTGTTTAGGATAGCACAGACATGGTGGGCCAAATGGCCTGTTCCTGTACTGTCTTGTTCTATTCTCTAGACGCATTGGAATAGTCACCAAAGGCTTCTTGTCAAAAGAGCTCTTTATGAGGGAGAACCTACAATGCTAGCCCCCCCACAGTTAGGTGCACTGTTTGTTTATATGGAGATTGCCTCCCCAGCTTTAGCCAAATTAAGAGCTGAAGACCTCCACTCGTAGCTGGGAAGGATGGGCAGTGCAGCAAACCTGGGCTATTTAACAAACTGGTGGAAAGTGTACAGAGCTGTCCCCTAGAGGTCTGTAGTGGAACTACAACTCCTGTGTAATTTGCATTCACCTTTCATATATGTATTGATATACGGTTACCTTTCAAAAGTAAATTGACTATGTCCTTGAAAAGGAAAATATTTGTATGGTTTTAAGGGGGAAAAACAGGGGAATGGGATAGACAAAGAAATGGGCTGATTGGCCTCATTCTAAAAACCTGCATCAGGACATTGCTGTGATGTTGCCTATCCATCCTTATTCTCTGAGAAAGTGTCAACTTAAGTGAACTGCAGTAAACCCCATGATACAGTGCAGTTCAACTTCCAAAAGGCTTTCACTGAAGTTCCACATTTTTAAAATTCTCTTGTGGGGCATGGGCATCGCTGGCTGGCCAACATTTGTTGCCCATTTCTAGATGTCCTTAAGAAGATGATGGTGAGTGGCTTTCTTGAATTGCTGCAGTCTGTGTGCTGTAGGTTGTACAACAATATCTTTAGGAAGGGAATACCAGGATTCTGACCCAGTGACACTGAAGGAACGGTGATATATTTCCAAGTCAGGATAATGAGTGGCCTGGAGGGGACTTTGAAGATGGTGGTGTTCCCATGTATCTGCTGCCCTTGGCCTTACAGACGGAAGTGGTCATGGGTTTGGAAGGATCTTTGGTGAATTTCTGCATTATATCTTGTAGATACTACACCCTGCTGTAACTGAACGTCGGTGGTGGAGGGAGTGGATGCTTGTAGATGTGGTGTCAATTAAACTAAACAATACTGATTTGTATCAGAAACAGAAGTTGCTGGAAAAGCTCAGCAGGTCTGGCAGCATCTGTGAAGAAAAAAATCAGAGTTAACGTTTGAGGTCCGGTGACCCTTCCTGTTCTGAGGAAGGGTCACCTGACCTGAAATGTTAACTCTGATTTTTTTCTTCACAGATGCCGCCAGACCTGCTGAGCTTTTCCAGCAACTTCAGTCTTTGTTCCTGATTTACAGCATCCGCAGTTCTTTCGGTTTTTAAATACTGATTCGTATTCCTGACATTTTGGGCAATCTCAACATTATTACTTTAGATAAAGTTGTGAATGATCACAATGTTTACATTTTGGGGTTCTAGACTCTTTGGCATGTGTTGAAACTTTTATTTTAACCCCTTATCTGTTCCAGATTAGAAACATTAGACTCAGCAGCACAAGGAGGCCATTTGGCCTCTCAGGCCTGCTGCCCCATTCATTAAGATCCTGACTGATCTGGGTTGTTACAGTCCTGCATGCTATTCTCAATTCTTCCTGCAAACAGGTGCTGGTGTCTCAGTGAATTCTTCTATTCAGCCTATTCCAATTGCTGTTGAGACTTTCACAGAATAGACAAAACCTCATGACAGGGTAGATGTGGAGAGGTTGTTTCCCCTTGTGGGAGAGTCAAGGACCTGTCTGAAATGGGCTGCCAGAGATAGTGTGTGGAAACGAGTACCATTTTGTCAATTATGAAACATTTAGACAGGTACATGGATGGGATAGGTATGGGGAGATATGACCAAAAGCAGACAAATGGGACTAGTTTAATTATGAAAACTGGGTGGGATGGGCAAGTTGGGCTGAAGGGCCTGTTTCTGTGCTGTAAACCTCTATGAGTCTAAGCGAGCTGCTTTGTCCAGGATGGTGTTAAGCTTCTTGAGTATTGTTGGAGCTGAACCCATCCACACAAGTGAGAAGTATTCCATCACAGTCCTGACTTGTGCCATGTAGATGGTCAACAGGCTTTAGGGAGTCAGGAGGTGAATTAGTCAATGTGGTATTCATAGCCTTTGACCTGCTCTTGATGTACTTTATTTACACAGCAGTTCCATTAGAGTTTCTGATCAACGGTAACCCCCAGGATGTTGATGGTGGGGGATTCCGTGATAGTAACACCATTGAATGTCAAGGGGCGGTAATTATATTGAGATGGTTATTGCTTGTCACTTGTGTGGCATGACGTTGTCCAGACCTTGTTGCATTTGAACATGGAGTGCTTCAGGCATGAAATTAAATTAAACCATGGGAATTAATGGAAGAACTGGTGGAATAGCAGGAAACAACGAGTACCATTTAAAGGCGTAACATGGAAGCTGATGAAAGTTACACATGGGGGAGATTGTGTCTCAACCCCACAATCAATACAGATTCTGCTCAAAGGAGGACCACCAACCAGAGGACACAGAATAAAGATAACTCGCAAAAGAGCTGGAGAGGAGATGATAATTTTCTTCTTACTTTAAAATACATTGAGTTGCTCGATCTGGAATTCACTGACTATAAAGGTGATGAAAGCAAATGCAACTGTAGCTTCCAAGAAATTGTTTGTATTCTATTGTCAAAAAGGGTAAATTTTCAGGGTTATGGAGAAGGAGTAGGGAATTTCAGCTCTGTAAACAGCCAGCAGCAGTACAGGGTGTTAAATGATACCTTTCTCCATTAAATTATGGTAAACTCTGGAATGGGACATCAACACAAACGTTTCTTAGCGAGAGATGAAGCAACTACGCACAGCACCATTGCTGATAACCATCGGCTTGTCCATTGACCATTAGGCACCAATACTGGCTGAGCCATGAGTCTAAGATGAAAATGGAACTCCTATTCCATTCTGCTGTGCTGTTGTGTCACCAGGTTGAAACTTACCTGTGTAAGGAGTCGCCATCTCTGTTTGTTTCAGACCAAAGCAAAAACTGTCAACGGCCACGGCAAGGGCCTGGGCGAAGTTGGCATCCATGAGGAAGGAGCCATCGGAGGAGCTGACCATGCTGCAGCGGGCACTGGTGAAATTGTCCTCGGAGACAGAGCCCCAGCCATTGGCCAATGATCCGGCAAGGGAGCTCTCGCACTCGCTGATGCTGGAGGTTGGAGTGCGGCAGAGTCTGTGGAAGAACCTGCGAGAGTTCACACGGGCCACCTCCACATCCAGGTCATCGTCCTCATCATCATAGTCTGCAGCATCCGTTTCCAGGTCAGAGGGCAGCGGCCCACAGATGTACCCATACGTGTGGGGAGGCGAGAAAGGTCTTTGAAAGGAGGATGAGCTGTCTGTGAAGTGCCTGTAAAGAAAAATAATTTATTCCCATAATTATGGGCTTCCTTTACATTTACCATTAACTTGCATTTACATAGTGACTTTGACCCATTGAAAATGCTCCAAGGTGCTTCACAGAACAGATATCAGACTGAATTTGACCCCCAATCATTGATGCACAGATGTCAAACAACCTGTAACAGAGACTGCCTTTGGGATGGATAGAATAATAGAATCCCTATAGTGTGGAAGCTGGCCATTCGGCCCATCGAGTCCACGCCCACCCTCCAAACAGCATCTCATCCAGACCCACCCAACTACCCTATCCTTGTAACCCTCTATTTACCATGTCTAGCCCACCTAGCCTGCACATCCCTGGACACTATGGGGCAATTTAGCATGACCAATCCACCTAAGCTGCACATCTTTGTTTGGACTGTGGGATGAAACAGGAGCACCCAGAGGAAACCCACACATGCAGTTTGAAGGGAAACAAGGATGGAGGGAATTGAGATGGGAATCCATATCCTTTGACATAGACAGTTGAAGACTTGACCACCAAAGCTAGTGTAAAGGGAATTGGGGACATACAGAAAGCAGAATTGGAGGAGAACAGAAATTTCAGAGGGCTTTAAGACTGGAGGAATTTACAGAGATAGGGAAGGATGAAGCCATTGAGGGAATTGAAAATTCAATGAGAATGGATAAATCAAGTCACCACTTAACTGGAATCAATGTAGGTCAGGAAGCGTGGAGGTGATGGGTGGATAGGACTCGGCAGCAGAGGTTTGGATGAGCTCAGGGTTAGGGAAGATGGGTGATCAATGAGTATAGCATTGCATTAATCATGTCTGGAGGTAATGAAGGCAAGGACAAGGCTGTTGTCAAACTGAACCAGAGGGAGATGCAAGTGAATGAAAGGAGGAGACCTTTAGCAAAGAATCCCCCACACCTCAAATTGTCCCTGTTATTTCTCCCAGGATATGACTGAGATACCTACTTCCCTCCAGAGCTTCACTCCCAGAAGGTATTACTAAGCTGAGAGTCTCAACACTGCAGCATCAAGCTATTCAAATACAAAAAAAAAATATAAAAGCAGTTCATCCGAATAATGCTCACTTCCAGCAAGGCCAACTGGACAGCAGGGAACCAACTGGCTTTTCCACTCCCTCTATTCAAGGGACTTATGCCAACTACAAGGTAGGAACAGAAGACGGCCGTTCAGCCCCTTGAGTCTGTTCCTCCGTTGAATTAGAAAAAAATGTCAACAACAGCACAATGTGAAAGAAAAAGACTTCAGGAAGTCCCAAAGCATTTTGAACTCATTTAAAAACTTAAATGTAAACACTATTGAGTTATAAGAAACATGGAAGCTAATTTGTGCACAGCGAGGTATCACAGTAGCAGTGAGATCATAACTAAATAAAACTTTGTGATATCGGTTGAGGATAAATATTGGAAAGGACACTTGAAGGATGTTTTTGCACTAGCCTCAGAGAGCGGAGTTGACAAGGCACCAGCTCAGTTTATCATCTGAAAGATGAAGCCTCTGAAAGTACAACAAATGCATCAAGGTTTCTGAATACTGTCCAAGAGTCAAAACAGGCACCAATCCAGTTGGAATGGCTTGATGAGACACCAGGCAGTGGATTTACTAAACTGAGTTTTAAGTATTGTGTCAGCTGAGGCTCAGTCAATAGTCCTCTGGCCTTGGAGTGTCCAAGGGCCTGCATCACTGAGGGAATGCTGCACTGTTGAAAGTGCCACTTTCAGATAAGATGCTACACCAAGGCTCCCAAATGCATGCTTGGGTGGTTGTAGAAAGATACAATGCATTGTTTTGAACCATAGCAAATGTTATGGCCAATACTTAACCCTGTATAAATGCCACAAGAAACTAGATCATCACAGTGCTATGTTCAAATTGGTTGCAACTCCTAGTGAAGTTGGAAAAACTATTTAAATGCAATACCTTTAATATTTTAATTTATAATTTAAGGGCTATAAACATGATGATTTTCTTATCCCCAGACATCTCTGAGCACTTTATAGCAAATTAGGTATATTTTGTGGTGTAAACATTTATAATATAGAAAAATTATATTAATTAAATATTTAAAAAGTAACAGTGATAACATATAAAATGCCTTCTGGGATAACCACTTTGTTGAAGCACCTCGTTCCTAAATGATTCCCTTGGAAAGGATCATCTTAAGAAAATAATTTCTTCTTCCTCAAAAGCAATTGTATTTAGTTTGAGGGTTGGGTGTATTAAATGCATTGTATATGGGGTTTCACTTGTGCTCCTATGAATTGACATAGATTAAAACTCCAGTTATTGGGTTAAGAGGTGTACAAATATAACAAAAACATAGATTAGGAGTAGGAATATGCTCCTTAAGCCTGCACCATCATTCAACAAGATCTGATTGTCCCTCCTTTTTGCCTACCCCCCAATAAACTTTCACTCTCTTCCTTCTCAAGCATTTACATCTAACCTTAAAAATATTCAAAGACTGTGTCTGATGAAAGGACCTAAAGGAGCCATGACCTTCTGCGCCAAAAACAGTTATCTCATTTGCCATAAGTGGGCAACCCTGATTTTAAAATAGTGACTCCTAGTTCCAGAACCCCACAAAGGCAAATATGCGTTTCACATCCAACCTGTCAAGACCCCACAAGATGTGATATTTTTCATCAAGCTACCTCTTGCTCTGCTAAACTTCAGCAGATACAAGCCTAGTCTGTCCAAACTTCCCTCATTAGACAACACACCCATTACAGATATTAATCTAGCAAACATTATCCAAACTACCTCCAATCCATTTCCATCCTTCCTTAAATAAGGAAACCAAAAGGGTACACGATACTACAGAGGTGGTCTCACCAAAGCCCTGTATAATTGAAGCATAACTTTCCTCCTTTTGTTTTAAATGCTTCACTTTATGTTTGTAGTGTGTAACTCAGTGAATAAATTTAATGGTGTGTTCATTGGATCTAGTTCTAACCTTCAGCGACTGCCCATTCATCAGTGATTGAGAATATACCCATTAGGACTCATCTCTCGATTCATTTTTCACCCTTCCAGTTCTATTTGTGCATAAAACCCTTTGTTGTTTATGATATAATGCAGTCAATGGTTGGCTATCACGTTTGGACAGCTTACTTCTGAAATAGGGAGAAAAAAATAAAAAATACCAATAATCTATTGACTTTGTTTTGTGTCAAAGGATTCTGGCATGCTGCAGAATTTCAAACACTGCCAACATTTGTTACAATTTTAAATACCTGGCTAGATGTCACAAGCTTCACTCTCAGGCACTGGATCACAGTGAAGACAAGGTATTAGTACAGACCACTTACTACAGAGTGATTAAGCTTAGTGCAACAAAATCAGAGGATACAAACTTTCCAATAAGCCAAAGGATCATGACAAAAGGTGCAATCTTTTGTTGGTATGGGCTAGTAGGTACCTGGAAGTGTCAGAGGATATGGGTTACAGCCATATTCCAGCGATTGGAGAACACATTCCAAACTGCCATTTTAGTGCGGTATTGAAGGAGTTGTACCACTGGAGCTGTCACCTTTTGGATAAGATATTACTTTTGTCTGCCCTCTCAGGTAAATTTAAAAGAATCCACAGCAGTATCTCAGAAAGAGCAGAAGAGTCCTTCTCATCGTCCTGCCTAATAACTATTCTTCAATCAACATTTCTAAAACAGATGAATTGATAATTAACACATTGTTGTTTATTGAGACAGACATGTTCCCAAGGCTTTATGTCCTGTGACCATCCAGACAAATGAAGAAATGCCAAATTTCAAGTGACCATTCCAATTAATTCTACGGAAGAAAAGGAATACTAATTAATTGGCAAGTCAACTGTGATTGGCTGAGATGTTGCCCTGGTAAAAGCAACAGGAACTACTGTCTCAGACAACAAGGTGCAGGGCTGGATGAACACAGCAGGCCAAGCAGCATCATAGGAGCAGAGAGGCTGACGTTTCGGGCCTAGACCCTTCATCAGAAAAGGGGGAGGGGAAGGGGGTTTTGAAATAAATAGGGAGAGAGTGGGAGGCGGATAGAAGAGGGATAGAGGAGAGGATAGGTGGAGAGGAAACAAACAGGTCGAAGAGGCGGGGATGGGGCCAGGAAAGGTGAGTGTAGGTAGGGAGTTAGGAAGGGGATAGGTCAGTCCAGGGAGGACGGACAGGTCAAGGGGGTGGGATGAGGTTGGTCGGTAGGAGATGGAGGTGCGGCTTGGGGTGGGAGGAGGGGATAGGTGGGAGGAAGAACAGGTTAGGGAGGCAGGGACGAGTTGGACTGGTTTTGGGATGCGGTGGGGGGAGGGGAGATTTTGAAGCTTGTGAAATCCACATTGATACCATTGGGCTGCAGGGTTCCCAAGCGGAATATGAGTTGCTGTTCCTGCAACCTTCGGGTGGCATCGTTGTGGCACTGCAGGAGGCCTAGGATGGACATGTCGTCTGAGGAATGGGAGGGGGAGTTGAAATGGTTCGCGACTGGGAGGTGCAGTTGTTTGTTGCGAACCGAGCGTAAGTGTTCTGCAAAGCGGTCCCCGAGTCTCCCTTTCCTGGCCCCATCCCCGCCTCTTCGACCTGTTTGTTTCCTCTCCACCTATCCTCTCCTCTATCCCTCTTCTATCCGCCTCCCACTCTCTCCCTATTTATTTCAAAACCCCCTTCCCCTCCCCCTTTTCTGATGAAGGGTCTAGGCCCGAAACGTCAGCCTCTCTGCTCCTATGATGCTGCTTGGCCTGCTGTGTTCATCCAGCCCTGCACCTTGTTGTCTCGGATTCTCCAGCATCTGCAGTTCCTACTATCTCAGGAACTACTGTCTCTTCTGCTTTTGGGTAAATCAAATAAAGGTGTAAGGGTTTGAACATACACCTTTAGTTTTCAGAAATGAGTCCCTGTTCATGAATGCATGTAATTCTTAGAAAGCATAATTGAGTTTCCTTATGAGCTTCCTTGATTAACTTATGTTGGTTCTTAGTGTTGCTATTAGCACACTCCAGGTCATTCAGCAAATACTTTCCAATTGTCAAAACACATCTCAGAGCAGATATTTTGTTTTGGGCTCTCAAAGAGTAGACTGGTTGATTACAAGCCATGTTCTGCCTTTTAAAAACAACAAAAGGAACATGCTTGAATCAACCAATCATTGGAACTTTTGACCTATGGACTTGATATCACATTGATCCAAATATTTTACATAACGTTGAGAGATAGAAGAATACCATTTTGGATTGCTGGAAAAATTAGTGATTTGTGGGAGATTGCTGTGCGTAAATGCATTGCTGTATTTCAGTAGATAATCACAATGACTATGCTACAAAAAGTACTTGCTTTTGGACAATCTGTGTTGAGATCATGAAAGGACTTACATCAACATCTTTTTCTTCTTTTATTCATTCATGGGTTGCGGCCTCTGGCCAGGCCAACATTTATTTCCCATCCCAGAGGGCAGTTAAGAGTCAACCACACACACAAGAAAAGTCAACCATATAGCTGAGAGTCTGGATTCACAAGCAAATCAGACCAGGTACGAATGGCAGATTTCCTACCCTTTGGTACATTAGTGAACCAGACAGGTTTTAACAACAATCCATGATAGCTTCCTGGTTGCAACACTTTCAGTTCCAAATTTTATTCATTAGCTTTAAATTCCTCCAGTTGCTATGGTGGAATTTGAATGCATGTCCCCAGAACATTAGTTTTAAGACATAGTCAACCCTGTATGATTCCTCTCCTCCTTCTCTCTCCTTCTCAGGCATCAATCTAAGTTATCCTTAATTGCATGAATGCTTGTAGCCCCAATTATTCCCCGCAGCAACTAGTTTTGCATTCTGTTTGCGCTTTCGGTTTCTCCTGATTTTCTTGTCGGATTTATTCTTGACCATCTTATTCCCATGATACTGAGTTTCAGCTTAACCTGTGGTGTCTACTGTATGTCCAATCCAGCAAAATCCTTTATAACCATCAAAACCTCTGTTAGGTTGCCCCCCCGCCGTGTCTCTCTATGTGGGAAATAATAGAGAATTTAGGTAGACTCTTCCTCAAACCTTAGGTTACCCTCATCTGTCAGCTCCAGGAAATGATCGACTGGTTCTGGCCGGTGACTGTTGTCCACACCGTCGTTTGCTGACAGTGAGAGGGTGGCAGTGGAAAGGCGGCTGTAGCACGTGGTCTGATAGGACATCTTGTCATCTTCCAGAGGAGAGCAACTTCCCTCCCTCTGTGCTTCTGCGGACACTGTGCTGAAGCCTGACAGCTTATTGGGATTGCTTGGCCTGGAAGAAAACACAAATACAAGTGAGCCTTTCGTTAATCTTCCCAGAGCTGCCAGTCCTGAAGGGAAGGAAAAAAGGTGCCTACATCCCTCACAGGAATGCAGGAACGGCAGTAAGTCTTCCTTAATTTCTCTACTCTAACTCTCGCTCCTCTTTTAAGAATCTTCTTAAAATCTACCAAATTGATCAAGTTTTGTTTTGATCTACTGTCTTAATCTCTCGATAAATAGCTTTACCATATTTGTTGGATAAGGACATAAGGAATAAGAGCAGGAGTAGGCCACCTGTCTAGTCGAGCCTGCTTTTCCATTCAATAAGATCATGGCCGATCTATCGTGGACTCAGCTCCACTTAACCGCCTCCTCACCATAACTCTTAATTCCTTTATCATTCAAAAATCTATCTATCTCTGCCTTAAAAATATTCAGCGAGGTAGCTTCAACTGCTTCACTTGGCAGGGAATTCCACAGATGAATATTATTGATATTATTTGTGTTTTTACATTAAAGATACTATAGAAATGCAAGTTCTTCTTGTTGTTCAGTCTCCTTAATGCTTCTCTCTCATTCTGTTGTCACGGTTGGTGTGCATTTCAAATCCACCTACTTCCGTTTCGCTCAGTTCCCTGTGTTAGCTTTATCTAACGAAAAGCTACCAGTCTCAAAGTGTCAGTTGACCTGGTATCCTTCAGGGTGAAAGAGGAGGTGGGAAGAATGGTCTAGATTTCCAATCTCCATTGTGTAGGAAAGATGTCAATTCTTGAATGTCCAAGCTCTTATTTTGAGAAAATGCTCATAGCCCACCTCGAATCATTGGGCTTTTACAAGATATGAAGAGGTCTGTCAGTCAATCATGTCTGCATCAATCAAGCATCTGTCTGTTCTAATCTCATTCATCAACTCTTGGCCCATAGCCTTGTATGCCATGGTGTTTCAAACCCTGAAGTATCTAAATAGTCCTTAAATATTCTACCTCTACCACCCTTTTCGGCAGTGAGTTTCAGCTTCCCACAGTCATCTGGGTGAAAAATAACATTTTTCCTCAAATCTCCTGCTCATTACATTAAAACTGTGCACCTCTAATTACTGAATGGGGGAAAGTTTCTTCCTATCTATCCCCTCAGAAGTTTGTATACCTCAATCAGAACCCCTCAGCCTTCTCTGCTCTAACAATACCAGCCTATCTAGTTTTTCTTTAGAGCCCAATCATTCCAGCTCAGGCAACATTCTGGTGAAATTCCTGTGCAAATAAAAACCGAAAAAACTGCGGATGCTGGAAATCAGAAACAAAAACAGAACTTGCTGGAAAAGCTCAGCAGGTCTGGCGGCAACTGGGGAGTGAAATAAGAGTTAACATTTTGGGTCCAGTGACCCTTCCTCAGAACTCCTTTGCATTCACTCTGGTGTAATCACATCCTTTCTAGAGTGTGGCAAATAGAACTACACACAGTACTCCAGCTGTGATCTAACTAATACAGCTCCATCATAACCTCCTTCCTCTTGTACTCAGTATCTCGACTCAAAGGCAAATACCCCATATGCCTTTTTAACCACCATATCCATCTGCTCTGCTGCCCTCAAGGATTTTTACACAGCAAGGTCTCTCTGATCCTCTGCACTTCCTAGGGTTCTACCATTCACCTTGCCTTGTTAATCCTCACAAAATGCATTATCTCACACTTTTCAAGATTAATTTCCTCTTGGTCAGCACCTCTGACCAGCCCAGCCACATCATCCTTTAGTCTCAAGCTTTCCTCAAGCGTTGTGTAATCTGTAAACATATTGATCATTCCTTCCCCATTAATTTTTAGGTCATTAATTTTGCATTGCAAACAGCAAGGAACTCTGCGCCAAACTCTGTGGTATTTCACAGGACACAGGCGTCCAATCATAAAAACACCCTTCAACTCTCACTCTCTGCCTCCTGCCACTAAGAGAATTTTGGATCTAATTTGTCAAATTGCCCTGAATCCCATGGGCACTTAAGCTTCTTAACTAGTCTGTCATGCGAGACCTTGCCAAAAGCCTTACTGAAGTCCAAGTGGTCCAAATCAACTGCTCTACCCTCATCCACAAACCTAGTCATCTCCTCAAAAACCTTAATTAGACTTTTTAGATATGATCTCCGCCTGAGAAACCATGCTGACCATCATTGTTCTGAAGCCTTCAGCAGAGAAAATGTGCCTTCGTCCTTTTCTGATTTCCATCCATTAGTGTATCAAGTGGAGAGTATCAGCAGAATAGGGTTAGGGTTATATTACATTATATTACACACATATGCACACAAACACATAAGACGCCCAGTAAGTATTGTTGGATAGGCATGAGAATCCAGAATGACCCATTTCTTGTCTATCTGAGGCAAATTATGGCACCATCACTAGCCTTCCCCCATTAATATCGACTGGTGACAGGCTTGATGCTGCAGGGGTCAGTAGTATTGATGTGTTTTTATGCTGGTAGCAATTTCTAAGAAAAGGTTTCAAGGCCAAGAGGGATATTTTTTTAAATCAGTAAAGGAATCAAGGATTCTAATGTAAATGCAGGAACGTGGAGTTGAGGATTATCAGTTCAGCCATGATCTCATTGAGTGGCAGAGCAAACTCAATAGTCTTAATAGCATACCATTGCTCCTGCATCTTATGGGAAATATGATTCTCCTCTTTCTATCCTTCCCCATTGTTCTCAGTAATACAGAACAGTTCTTACCCTTCCTGTGTGCTGTGGATGTGCTCAGGTTGCTCGACTGGGAGAGGTGGTGGAGGTGGGAGAGCATCCACCAATTTGAGTCTGAAATTGTGATGCTGGATCTTCGGTGAACAGAAAGTCCTCATCACCTTTTTCCCATCACCTGCCAATGAGACAGAGAGGTTACAAACACAGTGCTCTAGCAAACAATGGTACTTTGACTCCAGTTTGGATGTAACTTTTCAGCTTGGCCTTGACTTTACAGTGTGCAGACCCAGTTGACAAATTGCCAGCAATTTTGCTACCTGCCACATGAGATGTCAACATAAAAATACAAATGACAGGAGATCAATGAAACAAAAATCATACACAATAATATTCCAAAAACCTCTATTTGATTCCTTAATGCCTGAAGTTCCCTCCCTAACCATCTTTGCTTTCCTCCTTTCTGGTATTCCTTTAAAAACATCTCTCTTTGACTTAGCTATTGATCTGATCTAGCATCTCCTTATATTGCTCAGTGTCATATTATTTTATAATAGACCCACACCTTGCTCAGCACTACTGATGTGTTCCTAAAAATGGCGTGCTAATTGAAAACAGGCTGATCAAGAATAAACTTCCCACAGGAAAAAGGTGGGTGCCTGACCTCTAATTTTTATGTTAGAAACCTATTTGTGCAGAGAACCTAACAGGCTCAAAAATTCACCGTGACTCTTACCAACTTACTAACTTTTACTGACTTAGAATACTAATGCTTTCAACTATTCTCCAGTTTCTCATTTCCCTCCTCCCACTTGACATTTCCCTCTGCCTCCCCTTTTCACTCTTCATTTCCCTCTAAATCCTTGTCCTGAATGAAGGTTCAGACAAGGAATGATGGACGGAGGGAAGATTGAGCCCTTGTAGGAAGTGCAGTCCCAGCATGGCTAAGCACTTAAGGAAAACTGCAATGATGGAACTTTTAGCTTTATGTTTTTCTTTTTTGACTTAATACTAAGAGAGAGTGGAATGTTTAACATTTAACCTCGTTCCTTACTTCTTTCTACCCTGTTCTTAAGTTTTTTACCTAAGATAGCACTGTGTGTGGCAACATTGAAAATTTTACACTATACTCCTGTACAAAACAGTACTTTTGTACTTGAGTGCACATGACAATAAAGTCTAAATCTAAATCTAAATCTAAAGGAGTATGTGGGAGGGTTGGGTGAGGTCAGCAAAGGATGTCCCTGTCCCAGTTGTTTTTTTTTTAAAACAAAAAACGATCGTGCTCAGTAATCACACCAAAGCGAAAATGGTTGCAGCATTTTGGGGATTGTCCCTAGTGTGCTAAAGTGAAAAATTACTGTTGGAATCTACCTTCAATGAGATACCAATGAAAGCTACTGGGATGGTATATTATGTTCATGCAGCTATAGTGATACAAGTCATTCTTGTTACTTGGAAACTCCCATGACCACATGACATTGATTCTCTGTTGACAGATTCTCCCAACCTCGTGATGTATCAAAGGAGTTTACTGTCAACGGAGCATTCTTTGAAACCTAATCACTGTTTACTGTAGGAAACAGGCAGTCAATTTGTGCACAGCTAACACCAACAAACATTGATAGGACAAACTAGCTGTTTTGTTGATGTGGGTTGAGGGATGGATATTGACCAGAATAGCCAGGGATAAGCCCACTTCTCTTCTCCTAATAGCGCAATGGGATCTTTAACACCCACATAGGAGGGTGAAAGGGGCCTTGTCTTATCTGAAAGATGACACCTGGATACTTTCCACCTAAGTCTTTCCAGTGGCACTGAAGATCAAACCTTCTGCCTCTGAAGCAAGAATGCAAGCAACTGAGCTAATATTGACTCTGCTGTGATTCTAATGTGTCTGTAACAGGAGTGAGCAAAAGGCATTGCAAATCTCTTATCCTGGAACTGTTATTTCAAGTTAATAAAATATAAATTTAATTCTTCTTGATGATTGGAAAACATTATCTAAATGATAATTCTTTTTGTTCTATGTCACAGAAATGTAAACATATTTTTTGTGTGAATTTATATAGGTAAAGATCATTTTAACCTGAACTCATGAATAACTACAACTATGTTCATGAACAATTTGAGGGTTTTGACTGTGAACTTCATTGCATCTGCATTGTTGAGTTTTGGCCATAACACCATAGCAACCAAGGGCCGACTCAGAAAGTCCAGCCCGTTTAATATATAACAGACAAACCACTGGCCAGAACAGATCATAGGTATGTCCTCTGGTGCATCATTAGCAACCCCGTGGAGACCACATCTTACCATAACTCACAGCAGTGCCAGAGGGAGCTTGGAAATCTCATCTTACACCAGCAGAATCAGGGTTAGTGCCAATGGCAGTTTTATGACAAGATGGAGCATTGCAAAATGAGTTAATAGCTTCATCTGCCTGACTGGAATGATTAATTTTCTGTTTACATGCAGATTAAAATAAATCATTTGTTTTCTACTTGATCCAATCATGTTACAATGATGAATTAAACTATACAACTTTATTGTTCCATATACTGTCGGATATATTTTACTAAATAACCATAAACTCCAAGAACCATATACAACTATAGATTTCATCTATGACAAAATAGACTAAGGATGCATGAAATGCACTCTGTACTGCCTTTGACTGCTATATATTCATCTACATAATGTGCTACCCTATAAACAACCTACATATATGTAGCTCAATATGCTATAAGGTTTTACATACTACCCTCAACATGGAATACTGCCTTATATAGTGTAGGATAGAATTCCTGAATTGACTCAATCTGTAAGGCTAACAAATTATACCCAAAATCTTACACATTTTATAAAGCATCATCTCCCCCAATCCACCTTCCCACTCAAATTCATTTATATATTACAAGAAACAAAACCTGCCTTGAATCATTGCACTTTAAACAACATCATGAAGGAAACATTTAGAAAATATTGGAAATATTCAGTAAGCCAGGCAGTGTCTTTAATAATTAAAACTGAATGAATATTTCAGGTCCATGATCTTTCAATAGAAATATGATTGTGCATTGTCACATACTCAGACAGGCATAGTGTATATACACACACTGTCCTCTACACTGCATTCGTCTCTACAGATGACTGAGATGGGCAATGACAGAAAGTTGGGAGAATTGTGAGGGGTTTCCAGTGAGGACCTTCCCAATGTTGAGGAAAAAGTTCCATTTTCCAACCAAGTGTTGAACAGCAAAACGAGATTCTCACTCATCAACAGTGAGAGGTCTCTTTGCATACATCAGTGTACATTAAAATCCTCATTATAATGTCATCTCACATCAGTGACATGCAGTTTCCCATTCTCCCGCCCTCTGGATAGAAACTAGACTCTGATAATTCCCGACATGGGAAAAGTCAAGAATCACACGTCACCAGGTTATACTCCAACAGGTTTATTTGAAATCACAAGTTTTCGGAGTGCAGCCCACAGCAGCACCTCCACATCACGATGCAGGAAAGTCACAGCAAGTACCTGGCAACAATAACTCACCATGTGCTCCTCTGGACTATCCGCCACCAATATCTCAGGGCGTTACATGGGCAGTGACCGCATGCCACCCCCACACACCCCCATCCTCATTACCAGGACCTCCACCTCCTGACTGGCAAAGGCAGGTGCCAATGTCTCCCTTCTCGACATGTCAGGGGCAATTGACAAGAACCATGCAGGGCAGCTGTAGCTGGTTTGTGACTGTGCTTTAAAGATAGTGCAAGTGCCAAGAATCGCAAGAAGTGCCAGCTGTGACCAGGACCTCTGCCTATAGTGAGTGCTGCGAGAATACAACAGCAGGATGCCATTGGAGCGTGGTGCATTAGTAATGAGGCGAGTTTAGGGAAATCGAATAAGAAAACCCAACCAGGTTTTGTGAAGAGAAACCCTCCGTGAAACTCACCAAAATTGACACTTGGCCAATTTCTGGTAAAATTCAGTCTGTGGTTTACCCAACATACGATCCTACCTCCCATAAATCAAACAATACCATAATTGTTAACTCATCTGTCTAACACACAGACTATACAAAACTGGATTTAGTAATCCAGTCTGAAAATTGTACACTCCATTAGATCTTAGAATCATAGAATCCCTACAGTGTGGCAACAGGCCATTCGGCCCAAAAGGTCTACACCAATTCTTTGAAAAACATCCCATCCACTATTTGAAAAGCATCCTACCCAGACTCACCTCCCTACTTTATCCCTGGATACCTGCACTTCCACAGCTAATCCACCTAGCTCGTACAACCCTGCACACTATGGTCAATTCAGCATGGCCAATCCACCTAACCTGCACATCTTTGGAGGACACTGCAGCACCCGGTGGAAACCCACACAGACACGGGGAGAATGTGCAAACTCCACACAGACAGTCGCCCGAGGCTGGAATTGAACCTGGGTCCCTGGCGCTGTGAGGCAGCAGTGCTAACCACTGAGATCTATTTCTAATAAGAGTGGAGTTAAGATAAAAATCAGCCTTAGCATAACCTAACAGTGTAACTGACTACAGACTGAATCTCAACTCTATCGCTTTGTTCATTTCTTTCAACATTGTAAGCTCTTATCCAGATACTACGTTATGTCACAAAACACAAAAACAAAAGTATGCAGATGCTGGAAATCAGAAATTGAAACAGTAAAGTGTTGGAAATGCTCAGGTGGTATCTGTGGAGAGAGGAACAGGATTCGACTTTCAGGGTGCTGACCTGCTGTCCAAATGTTCACTTTGGATCTCTCTCCACAGATGCTGCCAGACCTGCCAGTATTTCCCGCATTTTATGGTTTATTACCGTGACACTGGAGTTCACAAACTGAACTGAGTCAGACAAAAATGACCACTGTTAAAAGCAAAATGGAAGCATCTAAAGATTCACCTTGTGTATTTAGCCAGAAAGGGCCCACTGGAGTGATGGTGGAGTCTGTAGGATAACAACATACTATTAATATAATATAACCTATTAGTTATTAGTTATAACTAGTTACCAGTATACATTGGAAAGTTAATGCGTGCCCATTGACCATGAATAAAAATTGAGTATTACCACAATTAGTTATCAGTGAGCTACTATCAGTTACTGGTGGAACCAAAGCTCCCCCTACTGGTTTCCCTGTGAATTCCTCCCCACATTCAGTTTGCCTTTCTATCGCCCATCCCCAGTCTCTCCTCATCACATCCTTCCCCACCCTCCAACCTGCGTCTCTCTTTTTTTCTCCCTTTTGTTTCCCCACTTTCCCTTTTCTCCTCCACCATCACTTTCTCCTCTTTCCTGTCCTTGTTAATTCTCTCCCTCTACTCTGATGCCCCTCTCCTCTACCACCCTTCAGTGTCCTGCTGTAAGGTGGCCTCCCATTCCGTGGAATGTCCCTCTTGCAACAGTTGCTGGTGTAAGTAAAACATAAGAGGAATCCAATCATAGGGGATTGTAAAGGGCAACACTGAGAGATATCACGTGATCCAATTGCACTTTTCCAGATTTCACATTATCAAATGACACAAATTCAGATCAGTTGACATCACTGAAGCAAACAATGGTGCAGATAATATAATAAATGAATTTCATTTAAATTGTTTTAATATTTAAACAAAAATGACTGACGCATGGCAGATCGCATGGGACAAGATTCAAACTCCAACTCATAATTCATCCACTGGACACTGGCTGACCTCAGGAACAGGCTCTGTTGTAATATCACACTCAAATATCCTCTTGGCATTTACTGTCTAAACATGGAAATGACCAGAGAGCTGTTTTCACCTGTGGAACTACAATCTGTACACATTCAGAGAAATTTCAGGCTGATGACTATGAATTGGTGCTGCTCTCTAGAGGCATAGTGCAGTAACTGCTTGGGATGAAGAAATCTGAAAGACTGACTCCGACCCGTTATCCAAAACATCCCCTAAACTGCGTCGATGAAAATATTCAGTGTTGTTAATTTTGAGGACAATCCCTGCATATAATAGACACAAGTGCAACTTGCTTAACGTTTCATCCAAAAGGCAGCAACTTCCAATAATGCACTACTGCCTTAAACCTGCTATGACTGCCAACCCAGATTGTATGCTTGAATCTAATATCTGCGTTCACTTCACAATCAACTGTTGTAGAAAGGAGATTTAAAGGGCTTCAGACATTCAATCCTACAAGATTGGGACTCAGATAGGACCAATGCATAAATAATCAACATCCTTTCCAAGTTCAAATGAAAGGCAAAAGATAGGACCATGGGCAGAGACCCCTTAAACTAGATTTCCCGGTCCTTGAACAGGATTTCTTCTTGTCACATTGGCTGGTAGCGTGAGTGGACAGAGGCACATCAGCTTCCACAGAGGGTTCAGGCCAGATGACCTGGTCATCACCATATAGAATTGAGCACTGGTCATTATTAGTATCATACACGCTTTCCTCAGATTGCGGCCATTTGTTTCAAAGTGAGTAACAGGTTTTTTTCCAATGTCTATTCCATACTTCAACTTAGCTATCAGCTTTTTCTGCAGTGTGTTTGCTTTTCCTTGAGTCAACACCCAGGCTTTGCCAATCAAGCACAGTGAGCCTAGGTGTTACTCGACTATCATAACCAAACAGAGAAAAAGTGAACATTACAGTTTGGTGCGGAGCACTCATTGAGTAATGTGCTTCTTGAAAGAGATGTGTACGTGTCAGCGATTGCATGGTTAATGTTGAGGCTACATCTGAAGCTACTCTTGCAGCTCAGATCAGGAAGGTTCTGGTTCAGGAAAAACCTCACCAACAATCAACTCCTAATCAGTATCCAGCAACCCTCCTGGAAAGCGAGCGATAGGAGACAACACAATGGTTCACATTGCAAATCAAATGACCCATACGTGAAGAATAGCTGCCATGAGTGAAATATTCAGGACCTGGTAGTCCTCATGAGCCAATGCCTTCAGAAGAAAAAATAAAGTAAGAGAAGATACTGAAATATTAAATGTGAAATTGTGTGCCATGTTAAAAAAAGACTCCATGTAAAATATAGGTCAGTGTTATGCACGCTACTGGATATTTCAATTTTCTTCCTCAGTCTTTACTTTGATTTTGGGCTGATGGGGTGAGAGTTTGATTGAAGGAAAATGATAACTAGATCTTTGATCCCACTCAGGGTGGGATGCTTCTCTCAGAGCACTCCCAGATTAGGTATACTGGAGGTTGTACACAGAATTAAATGCTCTTCACACTGTCCACCCCAACTCCAAAGACAGAAAGATGAGATGCCTGACTATGATTAGACCATGCAAGCTTTGAACAAGGTGACAATGTTAGCCCTCCCCATTATATTCACTTTTGGCTTAACCAACATTTCTTCTAATCCCTATTTTCTATCTAAACGGTCTTCGAAAGACACATCTTCTAGTATTGTCATTCTAACCACAGATGTGGAAGGAACCATCATTAAACAATTGGAACAACTTGTCTTCCAACTGTCTCTCCAATCTTAAACAAAGGCAAAATACTGCATATGCTGGAAATCTGAAACAAACACAGGGAATTTTGGGGAAACTCAGCAGGTTTGGCAGCATCTGTGGAGAGAGAAACAGAGTCAATCATTTGAATCTGGTATGACTCTTCTTTGGGACTCTGAAGAAGAATTGAATAAATTCTGAAGAGACATCTGAAGTAGTGTCATACCAGATTTGAAACATAAACAAGATGCACTGCAGGAATTCACCAAAGATCCTCAGACCCTTGCAAACCAATGACCACTTCCATCTAGAAAGACAAGGACAGCAATGCAACACCTTCAAGTTTCGCTCCAAGCTGCTCAACATCCTGACTTGGAAATATATTGCCATTTCTTCGCTGTCGCTGGGTCAAAATCCTGGAATTCCCTCCCTACTGCAGCGGTTCAAGAAGGCAGCTCACCACCACCTTCTCAAGGGCAACTAGGGATAGGCAAGAAATGCTGGCCAGCCAGTGATGCCCACAGATGAATAGAAAAAAATAACTCTGTTCCTGTCTCCACAGAAGCTGCCAGACCCACTGAGTTTCCCAGTACTATCTGTGTTTGTCCCTCGCAGCTCATTCAGGAGTGTCTACTGCTAACTCGTCTATGGAGACTGAGAAACTGAAACTGGGAGCCCACGTCCTACAGAAATGTGGCACGATGCTTTATCAGTATTTGCAATTCTAGAGTAACACTTCAATTGTACAGCCCTCCCAGGTGCATTCTAGCCTCAACCAAAATTCCCAAACTGATAATCAAGTTCATTACAATAACAATGGTGATTTATTTTTACCTTTGCGGCTGGATCCCGGACTGGTGATTGGATTCTGACTGACAGTGATCACAGATCCATTACTTTCTAGGAATGGAATCAAAATAACTCAGTGAACATTTATTAATAAGAAAAGTGAATCAGTGTCCATGCTTCCAGAAAATATGCACAATCCATCCTAGAATTTAGTCTAACAATCTTCTTTCTCAAGATAAATTGCATATCAAGGGTCTACGTCAGTTCATAACCTAACCATGGAGCCATCAAATGTCCCCCTCAGTCCATAGGAAATATTTTCAAAGTAAATTTGACAGCTGGTTTTTTAATGCAGCAATATAAATTCAAGAAAGAAATGCTGAATTGATAGTATGGAACAATCATGCCACCTCACTAGGGTCTCTATGAATGTTTCCATAACATTCAATTGTTCTATTTGATTTTGAGAGTCTGTTTACTATTGATGTTCACTTTGCTGGATTGGTTAAGCATGTGTCTGGACTCAAGAATATTGTGAAGATGGCAGTGTAGTGGAAATGTCACTAGCCTAGCAACCCAGACGATCAACTGAATTCTCTTGGGATGTGGGTTCAAATCCCACCATAGTAGCTGGTGAAATTTACATGGAATTGAAAGCTGGTTTCAGTTATAGTGTCTGTGAAGCTATTATCAATTGTTGCAAAATTCCAATTGATTGATTAATGCTCTAATTAATTTGCTACCTGGTCTGGTCTACACATTACTCCAAATCCACAGTGATGTGGTGACTCCTAACCCTATGAAATGGCTTAGGAAGCCGCTCAGTTCAAAGGCAATTGGGGTTATACAACAAATGCTGGTTTTGCCAGTGACACCCACATCCCACGAAAGACTAACAAGGCGATAGCAAGAGATGGAAACTAGAGCTAGAAGCACAGAGTCAACATTTTGAGGCACTGTGAAGAAAACATGTTAAACACTTGGAAATGGCAGCATCTCTGTAACAGTTTTGTGTTGGAAAACACAACAAAAGTTTCTGTAGAGATAGTAAGAACTGCAGATGCTGGAGTCAGAGATAACACAGTGTGGAGCTGGAGGAACACAGCAGGCCAGGCAGCATCAGCTTCTGTATGTTGTTTTAATGGTGCCATCATCCACACCCTCCTTTCTGTAGGAGAAACCCAAAGAATCCCAAACTTTCTCTGCCACAAAAATAGTCCATGAACTCCAACGGAGCCCATCTTGAACCTGGTAACCTCGAGAAGCCTGTTTAACTCCTATAATTTTGGATCGTTTAATGTAATTAAACCAATTTTATTTCCCCCTCCAACTCTATTTTGATTTAGTCCTTACCCTCTCTCCTTGCCCCCCACCCCATCCACTTTTAATAGTTTCCATTGCTCACAGTGGGCTTTGTTTGTTAATATTTAATTTGCTACATGAGTGACTATTAAAAGGGAATAAAAAGAACGCAAAAGAACTCATGATGACTTCTGATGACCAGCTCTGATGAAGAGTCATCTAGACTCGAAACGTTAGCTTGCTCTGTCTCCATGGATGCTGCCTGACCTGCTGTGATTGTTGTGTTTTCAACGCAAAAGAAATCATGGTGATTTTGGTGGTGGAAAAGTCACTCAGTTGCGCGTGATAACACTTCCGAGTAAAAAAAAACTTAAATAATGAATCTAATTAAACTGGTTGAGCGGGTTAAAGACCTTAAATAAATTGACCAACATATACAGCTTATTATACTGGGTTAAGATGAACAGCTAAAATAACTTTGTTCAAATCCTTGTAATAAACTAATTAACATCATTGATTAACCTCTAGGTTAACGGCTAACCAGTATGTTAATGAGTTTGTACTTTGCCACATAGCCTTAATTCATGCTGGCTCTGTTAACGACTTAATCTTCCTTCATAGCACAGGTTAATTGCCATTAACAGTTACAATGGAAACATAGGCAGGTGCAGTGGTAATGTACCTGCTCCTGCACTGGGAGGCCTGAGTTCAAGTCCCACCTGGCATGGAGGTATGCAATAACATCTCTGAGCAGGTCAAATAGAAAAATAGGTTTAAAAAATGTGGAAACACAGGCAGACGTGCCAGGGACTTTGAAGAAGGGTTTGAAACAAGGCCATTGTTTCTATCATCTCTGAGGATAGGAAAGGTGGAGATAGTTCTGTTCCTTTGTACAAACTGTTGTGGGTTTAAACAAAGGTAACTTGCAAACTTCAACTTCCTTGACCTCTCTGTGACAGATTTTTCTGAGTTTATTCCATTGTTGCTCCTCGTTTTCCTTTCCTGGAATGTTGACTCTGTGCCTGGGAATAGTTTTACAAGGCAATTAGCAAATCTCCAGCACTGCACCTCAAGTGATGGGAAAGTGAGACAACTTGAATCGTAACGCCTTGTGTGTGGGGTGGCTTCTCAGCCATGTGAGGCATCACAGCTGAACCCATCCTTATGTGACATCCAATCCTATACAAGAATTGTTGTAATCTTTGAATCAACTTGTTCAGAGATGTTACGACAAACTTCTGGGGCAAGTAGGATTTGAACCTGGACCTCCTAGGTCAAAGGCAGGGACACTACCACTGACCACATAAGTCCCAGTTTTGCTGTACAGTCATCAGGAACAAGAGACCTGAATCATGAGACAAAGCTTCACTCCCTTCAACAGTACAAGTAAGGCCTGGAACACTCCTTGTGGTAATGTACCCCTGCACAGCAATCATTAAACTTCAGACCTTTTTTTTTGTTCTGTATGGTCAGTATCCTTCCACCTTAACTGTTTTTGTTACTTTTGTTTCCTGCACATTAGTTTGACATTAAGAATTAACTTGACTGTGTGTCAAGTCGGGGAACATTTGCTGCAATGTCTTTTGTGGAAGCTCTGGATTGGGAAGTCAATGTGGCTGGAGTCTGGTGAGGACTCCCTTAGTCAAATGATCTGCTGACATTCACTGGCAATGCTCCAGTCATGTAAAAGTGTCAACTGAGTAAAATATCAGAGAACAATGACTGCATATAGAGCCATATCACACAGTGACAACTTCCAGCAAAGGGAGGGTGAAGGCAGCACCAATGAAAAGATTTTTCTTAAAAATGCTAGAATTTTCTAGATTTAATGGTGATTTAAACTCTCACCATTATTGCAGTTTTTGTTCCATGATTCTGGATTGGCTTGTCGGTAGGGTGTCGGTTTCCATGGTAACTTTGTAATTTCCTGGCCAAAACCGTTGATGTTGTTTCTGTTAGTGTTGTTTTTCAGTAATGGCAAAGGACTCTGATTTGGAGTCATCTGAACAGTATAGCTTGAGTTTGTAGATCTCTGTGATAGGGGTGTGCTAAACGTCTTTAAATCCTTTCCTTTAATGTCAGCATTGAACGTCCCATACAGACTGTTATCAGGAAATATCAAGGGGTTTTGGTCTCTCAAACACTGGTCCTTCTCAATTGATGAACCTACCAAGAGAAAAAGAGAGAGAGATTCATAGAAGAAGAACCGAGAGTTCTTTTCACTTATGATACTCAGTGGATTGACAATGAAAGCTATTTCAGGCCAGCATTCCAGTTGACATAGCCTAGCAGTTTGCCAATGATGGCTAGATGGCATTGAGTTTAATCAAGTATACTGCTGAATCTTGAGAAAATAAAAGAAATGAACATTCAAAACCACTGTCTTTACCCAATACTCCAGTTGGATGGCTAATCAATTAGGAAATAATCTAATTACAGCTAAAGTATAAGGAGTCCTAATTAATCATTTTAACATTCTTAATGAAAAGCTTACTTTCACTTGTCCAATAAATCCAATCAGGCTTCCATCAAGAAACAAAACAATTACACAATTGTGACTTGCATAGTTTGTTCCTCTGGCTGAGATTTATCGCATATTGAGGGACAGTAAACAAGTGACAGAGAAGTGGAGAGCTTCCCACTTCCAGATTCCAGTCCTAAGACAAAGCATCTCATTCAATAAATGACAATCTGAACGATAGCATGTTGTATTAAGGTAGTTAGTACTTGAAAGAGTTAACTGACGTAACAAAATAAGCTCCATTCATCAGGATATAAAGATTCTGAGTTCATGCCTGTGTGCCCGTCTTCCATGGCTACATTTGTGCCTGGGTGTCCTTGGAAAGGGAATACGCGGTGTCCAACAATATTCTCTAAACCTTTATAGAGAGGTGACACCACAGCGGGGTGGACTGCTTGATCTCCCCATCCAATTCCAGTTTGGTTTAGCTTTCAACCTCTCTCCTATCCCTCCCTCACCTTTGATGGTCTGTATCGCGCTTAATGGGCTTTGCATGTAAATTAATCAACTGGAAAACACGGGTGATTTACTGGTGTTGGTTGATTAAAAAAAAACCACAGGCGATTTGGTGATGGGGAGAAACAAAAACCAGTCAGTCAGTCATAAGAGCGCTTCTTAATTTAAACAAAAAAAAAGGTTCTGGGGAGGGTGACTCTTGTAGTACCATGGCAGTATCTTTACCTCTGGACTAGGAAACCCAGGTTCAAGTCCCACTTACTGCAAATGAGTATAATAACATCATTGAACAGGTTGATTAGAAAATATCAATAAAGGAATCTGTTTGTTTGTTAGCTTGCTAATTATCCTACATCTGTCATAAGATGAGGAGAAATTATTTCACTCAAAGGATTGTGAATCTTTGGAAACTCTAACCAGAGGGTTGGGCCATTATCAAATATACTTAAGGCTGAGACACAGATCTTTGGTTTCTTGGGAAATCAAGGGATACGTATAGCAGACAGAGGCACACAAACAGTCTATCTACCCTCTCAAAACCTCAATTTGTGTACATCTATTAAATCTCTCTTTGTCTACTGTAAGAAAATCCACAGCAACATTTTCATGGGCCGAATAGATCATAAATGTGGACTTGCTGGAAACTCGTTTCTCACCTGTTGACCAGTAGGCTTGTTTCTCCTGACTGTGGAGCCAGAGAGGCTGACTATTCCCAGGACTGAAGCTCTTGGAGCAGTTGCTGGATTTCCAGGAGTTCGACAACCAGGGAGAGTCAGTGAGATTCATCCTGGAACAGAGCAATAACATTGTCAGGTCAGCTGCCCAGGGAATTACCAGTGCAAACACTCACTATAGCTTATCTCACCTTACCTGTGCTTGATAATAATGTCTTCATTAGCCAGTCTGTACAAGCCTGCAGTGCAGATAAATAGCATGAATTAATAAAACAGAAGTTGGGGCTTTTGGGTGTCATAGGTGGTGCAGTGATTTGTGTCTTGCGTGGTTTCTTCATGTTTCCATATATACCCTCTGATCATAGGGTGAATACGAAATGTGGCAAAATAAAAATCAACAAAATGCATGGCTATACATCCTGAGTGCAGGGTCTCATTATTAGGACTGAAAGTCAGGCAGTCCTGGAAAGTGCTTTGCGGATTGAGGCTCCCAGCACTGGATGACTGTGCTCTTGGAGCAATAAATTCTACAATTTACCTTGCTAACCTGCTTTGGATTAAAAGACAATGCTTTTGCTTCTAATAATCCAATACAGAGGTGAAACAGGCTACATTCACTGTAAAATAGAAGCCTCAGTCCACCATCTGAAGGCACCTTGGTCTCCTATATTGTGTAAATTTAACTAACGTTGCTCCACACAATGGGTAGAACAGACTCCTAACAAAGATAGTTAATGTTCTGATAATTAACTCTTCAACAGTAGTTGGATGCCAATCTAGTTAGGATCAGTAATGAGATAGTAGGAACTGCAGATGCTGGAGAATCTGAGATAACAAGGTGTAGAGCTGGATGAACACAAGGGGCCAAGCAGCATCAGAGGAGCAGGAAAGCTGACGTTTCGGGTCTAGACCCTTCTTCAGAACAAAAATAAAATTGTTTCTGAAGAAGGGTCCCAACCCGAAACATCAACTTTCCTGTTCCTCTGATGCTGCCTGGCCTGCTGTGTTCCTCCAGCTCCACACTATGCTATCTATTTCCTTTAGGACAGAGATCACTGTACAGAAGACGCAGATTTAAATTAGTTGGTGGAACAGCTGAAAATTTACATCACAGAATGTCGCCATTCAGTCATTTGTGTCCATGATGCAAAACAAGGAACCATCCAGTCTAATCCCACTTCCCAGATTTTGGTCCGTAGGATCCCGAAGGTTACAGTACTTGACATGCAAATCCAAGATTAAGAAGGAGTTGAAGGTGGGGATCTACTGGAGAGTGTGCAAGAGGCAGGCGCTTATCACTGTTAAGCACTTGAGCCAGGATTTGATGCAGAGACGATGGCCCTAACCACCAGCTGGAAAGCTGGCAGAAAGCCCATTTCCGTGTCCCCAGGAAGCTGCAACTCAACCTTAATTAGATGGCTCACACAAGTGGTTGTCTGAAGTTGTGGCCTCTGCTCCTGACACTACCCAAGGCAGGATCTCCCAACTCCAATAGCTGCCAGCAGCAGTTTTGCCCAACAGTGCCATCAAGAGCCGTGGCCATTACTAGTACTGCAGCAATCCTAAATAAAAATCGAAAGAACTGCAGATACTGTAAATCAGAAACAAAAACTGAAGTTGCTGGAAAAGCTCAGTTCGATTCTGAGGAAGGGTCACCGGACCCGAAATGTTAACTTTGATTTCTCTTCACAGATGCTGTCAGACCCGCTGAGTTTTCCAGCAACTTCTGTTTTTGTTTCTGTAGCAATCCTGTCACCTCAAACAGCACACCGGAAGCTGTGGCCATTACTGGTACTGCAGCAGTCCTGGACCAGAAGTATCGCTGAAGGGCTAGAGGAAAAACAATTGGAGCTGGCTCCCCACAGCTCTGATCATGTGGTCCCAGGGATTGTGTGTTGGGTCTGAGAGGTCAATTGAGAGACTTGATGAGGCACAGTGGAAGGCACAGTGGATGCTCAAACAGGAGCATCCTTTTCCATTAGGGAGCCTTTCGTGGGGCACAAGATGACTATGAGGAGAGATACCCCTCCCCCAATTCCCTGGCAGGCTCGCAGGGCCATGTCATGTAATATAGGGTCCCCTTGTTGATAGAAACATACCATTGGTGGTAGGAAGAAGCCTTTAATTGGGGAAGGGGCAGGAACCTTTGGTCTTGAGGTTCTGTAACCTATAGAGATAAGGTTTGACAGTTGCAAAGAGTCTAAAGCGGCATAGCAATTTTTGAGCCAGCACTGACACAAGGAGCTGAATGGCCTCATTCTGCACCGTACATTTACTATGTGTCCTGTACCACCTCTGTCTGTTCTGCAGCAGTTACATCCTTCCCCTTCGTCCACAATTGTCTCTCTCTCTCTTTCCGTCACCACATCCATTTCTCTCTTTACCCTCTTCATTTCAACTTTTCTTCCTTCTCCAAATCAGTGTGTTCCACTTTTCAGCCAACACTGAACTCTGAGAGAAGACATACGACTACTGGCATATATTTCCCAACACTGAAGGAGTCCCTGGCCTTTTGACAGTATGACGTAGACAAATAATTCCTTCACAGTTGAATAACGCCACGGCTCCCTCCATCCACCAAATAAGGGTCAGATACCAAACGCTCGGACTAGAGGAGAGAGTGTCCTTCAACAAGCAGCTATGTGAGTGAGCATCATTGACGCACTTGCCCTCAGCTTGACGTTACCAAGTCTCTATTGTTAAAGGGTTCTATGGTGGTATTAACAGGTCTCTCTCACCTTTGCTGAGCCTGTGTTTCTTCTGAATTTGGCAGCGTTTTGTGCGGCGGCGCCAGTACAAGCATGCACTGAACACCATCAGGATGACCCAGAGAACACTCCCAGCGCTTGCAATGAAGACTGGCTGCTTCACAATCTCCAGCACCAGTCCAAGGATCGAAGACTCCACTGACTTTTCTTGATCTGAAGAGTCTGAAATTCAAGTTCATCAATTGAAGGTTCACATCAAATGGGTACTTAACGTCTTAATCATGTGCAACAAAGGTTTACCAGATGGCTTCCTGGCATGGCACAACTGATGTGTGAAGAGAGACTGGATTGGTTAGGACTATATTCACTGGAGTTCAGAAGAACTAGGAGGGATCTCATGGAAATCTATAAAATTCTAAGTGGCCTAGACAGAGTAAATGCAGGAAGGATATTCCCAATGATCAGGTAATCCAAAGCCAGAACCCTTAAGATTATATTATAAAGCATAGGAGCAGAATTAGGCCACTCAGCCCATCAGGTCTGCTACACCACTCGACCATGGCCGATATGTTTCTAAATTCTCCTGCTTTCTCCCCGTAACCCTTGACCCCCTTACTAATCAAGAACCTGGGAGATCAAATGTTAAGGAAAAGTACACAGTTAATGGCAGGACCCTGAGCAGCATTGATGTACAGACGCATCTTGGAGTTCAAGTCCATAGCTCACTGAAAGTGGCCACACAAGTAGGTAGGGTGATAAAGAAGGCATATGGCACACTTGCCTTTATTGGTTAGGGAATTCAGTACAAGAGTCAGGATGTCATGTACAGCTTTATAAGACTTTGTTTGACCACGCTTAGAGTGTTGCATTCAATTCTGGTTGCCTCATTACAGGAAGGATGTGGAGGCTTTGAAGAGGTTTACCAGGATGCTGCCTGGATTAGAGGGTACGAGCAATAAGGAGAGGCTAGAAAAACTCAGGTTGTTTTCTTTGGAGTGGAGGAGCCTGAGGGGAGGCTTGATAGAAATCTACAAAATTATGAGATGCATAGATAGGGTTAACAGTCAGAATCTTTTTCCCAGAGTTAAAATGTCTAAAACTTTGGAGGCGGGGGCGGGAATGCATTTAAGGTGAGAAGGGGAAAGTTCAAAGGAGATGTGAGGGGCAAGTTTTTTAACACAAAGGGTGGTAGGAATCTGTAACACACTGCCAGGGCTGGTGGCAGAGGCAGATACAACAGGTGCATTTAAGAGACTTTTAGATAAGCACAAGAATGTACAAGGAATGGAGGGATATGGACCACGGCCATGCAGAAAGGATTAGTTAAATTTAGCTTCACATTCAGCACAACATTGTGGGCCAAAAGCCCCATTCCTGTGCTGTACTGTCCTATATTTTATGTTCTAACCTATCTATCTCTGTCCTAAATACGCTCAATGACTCGGCCTCCTCAGCCTTCTGTGGCTATGAGTTCCACAGATTAACCACCCTCTGCCTGAAGAAATTCTTCCTCATCTCAGTTCTAAAGGGTTGTCACCTTCACTCTGAGGCTGTGCCTTTGGGTCCTAGTCTCTCCTATTAGTGGAAACATCTTCTCTATGTCACTCTATCCGGGTTTCCAGGTATTTTGTCAGTTTCAATGAAATGCCCCTTCTTCCTTCTAAGCTCCATCAAGTATGGACCCAGAATCCTCGTTCGCTCATCATATGACAAACTCTTCATCCCCAGGATCACTCTAAGGTTACAAGGTAAGGCATTTAGGGCTGAGATGAGGAGAAATGTCTTCCCCAGGAGTGGTGAGCCTGTGGAATTCACAATCACTGAAAGAGGTTGAAGCCAAAATATCAAATGTTTTCAGGAAGGATCCAGATATAATTCTTACGGCCGAAGGGATCAAAGGGTATAGTGAGAAAGTGGGAACAGGGGACTGAGTTGTATGATTATCCATGATCATATTGAATGGTGGAGCAGGCTCAAAGAGCTGGATGGCCTACTGCTTCTACTCTTTCTATGTTTCTATGTTTAAAGTGTGACTAATGGTGTGGAAACACTGATTATCCTTAAAGGGAGATCATGCCTTGAAATGAGAATGAGAGGCAGAGAAAGATCTATCCAGTCCATCCCATCTGTTCCACACAATTATGATGGTTTAAGGACATTAAACTACAGAAGAAGGCTATTCAGCCTTATCAAGCTCCCCCCATGCCAGTTGAACTTTGCGTGATATTCCCCAACCACCAGAGCCATGGGAGGGGTGACAGACCAGAGGATGGAACTCTTAAAGAAGTTAAATTTCAGAAGACATTGCAGAACTCAATGTCTGGACTATATGCAGAGATGTAGTAAAAATCTATCTGAGCATTCGGATATTGACCATGTTTGATTTTTTTAGTTTGAAGTTCACATCACTTACACCACTGTGGTGGATTCCTCACAGTGAGCTAGTTATTGTGAAAATGAGTGCGCATGCAAGGTGGGGGGTGACTAATGATTGAAACTGAGATGCCTTGATAATGGGTAAATGTAAAGAAATGGGGTCATTTAAAAGACTAAGTGGCTGCAAATGTGGTGATTAAATAAAAGGTTCATACCAAGGGAAATCATTTTCGTTGTGTATTTCAATTTCTGCAAACGTTCTTCAATCAACAAAAACAGTTGACAGAACCTGGTGGTGCTTATAATAAATGCACATTCCTATTTCTAAGTACAACTCATTCAAAATAGGGCAGCATGAACTGTATCCACATTCTCCTGAATGAACACCAAAGCAACTTTCTGATAGGCAGTGCAAGAGGAAGAGAACATGAGGCCACACACTGACTGCTACCAGCAGCTTCTTCAAAAAAGTATATACCCGCCCAAGAGGGAATCATGTTCATATTGAATGGCAAAGCAGACTCGAAAGGCTGAATGGCCTGCATCGGCTCCTAGCTCTGTGTTTCTAAATGCAGCTGAGGTTCACCAGAATGATTCCTGGGTTGGTGGAATTTATCCCTTGAGGTAACTGGGCCTGTATTCCCTACAGTTTAAAAGAATGAGTGGTGATCCTATTGAAGTGTATAACATTCTTACAGGACCATGAGTGCCAGAAGGATGATTCCCCTAGCCGTGGCTGTGGCAGGTTCTACCCGAGGACAAAGTCTCAGTATGAGGGGTTGGCCATCTGAGACTGAGATGAGGAAAGATGTCTTCACTCAAAGGGTGGTGAATCTTTTGAATTCTCCAACCCAGACAGCTGTAAGAGCTCATTGAATTTGTTCAACATAGGTTTCTAGATATCACCGACATTATGGGATATGAGGATTTGTGAGGAAATGGTGGAAGTAGAAGTCCAGCCATGACCTGGTTGAAAAATGGAGCAGGCCTACTCCTGCTCCTATTTCCCGTGTTCCTGTTAGCTATGTACTTTTTTTTTAGCTACAAGCATTCTTTTAGTAGATGGTACAGTTTGGTGTCTGCCTGACTAGTGCTCATAGAATCCCCACAGTGTGGAAGCAGGTCAGTTCAGCTCATCAAGTCCACACCAACCCTCTGAAGAGCATCCCACCAAGGCACACCCCACTTATCCTATCCCTATCCCTATAACTCTGCATTTCTCACAGCTAATCCAATAGCCTGGACACTATGAGCAACTTAGCATGGCCAATCCACCCAACCTGCATATTTTTGGGCTGTGGGAGGAAACCGGAGCACCCGAAGGAAACCCACACAGACACAGGGAGAATGTGCAAACTCCACACAGTCACCTGAGGCTAGAATTGAATCCAGGTCCCTGGTGCTGATAGGCAGCAGTGCTAACCACTGAGCCACTGTGCCATCCTGTGATCTTGAACCTGTGTCTAATCTTGTGCAGACTTTGGCCAAGTCGCCACATGTCTGGCTATATTTGTATATTGACCATGTTTTGGAAGATAATGATAGATCTGTTTCTGGTTCAGCTTGAACATTGACCATGTGGCAAAGTGGTTCAGCGATTAGCACTGCAGCCTCACAGTACTAGAGCCCAGGGTTCAATTCCACCCTCAAATGACTGTCTGCCCCAATTTGGGCACACGGTGGCTCAGTGGTTAGCACTGCTGCCTCACAGCGCCAGCGTCCTGGGTTTGATTTCACCCTCGGGTGACTGTCTGTATGGAGTTTGCACATTCTGCCCGTGTCTGCGTGGGTTTCCTCTGGGTGCTCCGGTTTCCTTCCACAGTCCAAAGATGTGCAGGCGAGGTGGATTGGCCATGCTAAATTGCCCACAGCGTTCAGGGATGAGTGGGTTATAGAGGGATGGGTCTGGGTGGGATGCTATGAGGGTTGGTGTGGACTTGTTGGGCCGAAGGGCCTGTTTTCACACTCTAGGGATTCTATTAAAAAAATTCTAACACCTCTCTATTGCTCACAGTCTTCCTCACAAAACTATAGCAATGTGGGAATTGTCATTCTCCTAATAGCCTGGATGCACAATCTAAACATTGGCACTGGAATACTTGGCACAATACTCCTTGCTGAGCTAAAGAAAAAGACAAAAGGTTTTGTAAATACTCTAAAAACAATGTCAGGAATCTCCGAAAAGGGAGGCATGCTTTTGAGACACAGTTTTGGTCCCCTGGTGCAGTCTTTCTGGCAAAGCTTCTGTCAATCAGAGTCAAATTACCAAGCGATATTCCCATGCAATAAGTCATTGCTCCCTTCTGAGATTTGGCATTCTTGCAATTCTGTCCTGATGAGTGCAAGACCAAACAGTGTCAACAGCATGTCTGTTTATCAGCAATTTTCAAATTCTGTAAAATTGAGTAACTATTAAAAATCTCACTGATGGGCTTGTCCAGGGCCAGCCCAGAACCTGACCAGAAAATCAGGCAAGGTGCTAGTGGAAGAAATCTAGGAAAATGGATCTTTTCCCAATTTTCCCTAAAAATGTTACATTCAAAGAACTACATAATTAAGTACACAGATGTAAAGTCTATTACTAGACAATACCGTGTTATTGACTGTGGCCATAGACCAAGACGTACAAATACAGTTGTTACAACAGGAGATCACTGTTGATTCTGCGGGATTCACAGGATCACAAGCAGCAGCCCATCTGAGAAGGCTTTCAGCTGTCCTGGGTGATACTTCCCAAGAGTAGGACCTGGGAAGGCTGTTGGAGCATTTCCATATTCAAAGACAGACACTTGACACTTCCTCGATCCAAGTATAAACCCCTCCCTCAAGTCAGGGAGTTGACATAA